TAAAAGTCTGATGGCTGAAATGTCATGAAGCCATAACAACTGTAGCTGAAAGACCTCAATAAATCACTTAAACTGCATGAGAGTGACTGTTTGCTGACAGGTGATTACACTCAAAGTGACTGGGAGAATCCTGGGGAGGTGTCCAAAATATATGAAAACAGCCTCTCCACTAGGGAAAGTTCCATCAAAACTGGCTTCATGTAGGATTCTAAGAGCTACCAGCCTTCCTATTCCCAGATAGATATTTGGCAGGAGTAGAAGAGTTGGGGGAAGAATCATGCTATGGAAATTGCCCAATATTTGAGGTCAGTCACAAAGACCATTCTCCAGAGGCTAGGCCTCTCAGGGGAAAGAAGAAGGAAGGAGGAGGCTGAGGCCTCTCTCTCTTCAGGGGTTGTCTGTTCACTACTAACCCAACATTACTGAGGGGAAAGGGTCTTTGTCTTCCAAAAAGCTCAAGTCAAGTCCTACTTCCCAAAGCCCCACTGGAACATAGGCCTGATGAAGTTAATTATTTGAGGGAAGTCAAACATTTAGTGTTGTAATTGATGCATGACAACATAGCAGATGAGAAACACCGAAGCAGATGGTTTCAAAATCCCAGCCTCTGAATGCAACCAAAATTTCCTTGGGATTAGTCTGTAGTTAACCCTGCTTTCTGCTTGCATGTCGGTAGGACAAGATGTGTACATGTAAATGAGTTTATTTATTTGTTTATGTTTGTTTATTTTTGGTAGTGAGAGAGTGCAAGCACAAGCAGGGGAGGGGCAGAGGGTGGGGGACAGAGGATCCCAAGCGGGCTCTGCGTTGACAGCCTGATGTGGGGCTCAAATTCAAGAACCGTGAGACCATGACCTGAGCCAAAGTTGGACACTCAACTAAGCCACCCAGGCGCCCCCGAATTTGTTTCAGAAAAACCACCCACCCCTTGACCCATGCAAAGGCCAAAGTGCCTGAGCTCAGCTTCCACTCCTTAGTGTTGATTATCACGGAGGCATCGATGGACAAAAAGTGCACTGGGATATGGAGTGCTATTACTAAAGACATTTCAGAGAAAAAGCTCTGCTGTGGCATGGAACTTCCCAATACTTTTCCTCAAAAACTATTTTCACAGATCATGACATCAGGTCAGCTCCAGTTCATGAAGGACCCTTAAACAATAGAAGCAACAACCATAAAGACTTCGGAGGACAAAGGAAACCAAAGATCTTTAGGATCTTCTGTTCATGTATTTACAGGAAGTGGCTATAGACTAAGTACATATATTTCTTGAGAATAAAGTGTCCCCAGGACACCAGTGGTGTCTGTGACTAAAGAACTATTGTAACTATAAACTGGGCAAATAGTTTATAGTTGTACAATAGTTGTGCTGTCCTCTCTTCTTTGGAGGATATTATAAGCACATTTTGATGCTTTTAGGACCCTGATTCACATTAAATGTGAATTACTTAAAAATAATAATGGAGGGGCATCTGGGTGGCTCAGTGGGTTAAGCTTCCAAATCTTGATTTCAGCTCAGGTCATGATCTCACATGTGAGTTTGAACCCCACATCGGGCTCTGGGCTGACAGTGCAGAGCCTGCTTGGAATTCTCTTTCTCTCCCTCTCTCTCTGAACCTCCCCCGCTCTCTCTCTCTCTCTCTCTCAAAACTAAACAAACTTAAAAAAAAAAAAAAAAAAAAAAAAAAAAGAGTATCTTGCTCCAAAATATGGTATAAACTCAGGAGTTGTAGGTATAGCCATACCATTCTGTAAATCATTATATAAAACCTGATAAAGTAAAAATACACCATAGTTAGGACTGTAGAAAAAAACCGTAAGATGCATTATTAAAAAAAAAAAAAAAGTGGGGCATCTGGGTGGCTCAGTCAGTTAAATGTCCAACTCTTGAATTTGGCTCAGGCCATGACTATAGTGTTGTGGGATCATCCCTGTGTCAGGATCTGCACTGAGCTAGGAGCCTGCTTAAGATCCTCTCTCTCTCTCTCTCTCTCTCTCTCTCTCTCTCTCTCTCTTTCTCCCCCACCCTCTGCCCCTCTCCCCACTTGCCTGCACTCTCTCTCTCCCTAAAATAAAATTTAAAAAAAAAGAGAATCTCTCTCTCTGCCCCTCCCCTGCTGGTGCATGCACGCATGTACTTTCTCAAAACAAAACAAAACAAAAAAAAGTATGTACACAGTGTGCTAAAATTTTTGGAGGAATGGGAGAACATAAGTATATTTGTATGCTTAATAAGTAGGAGGCAGGGAGAATGGGATTGATGGGGACAGGTAGGAGCAAGACTTTTCAAAGTATACCTTTTTATATTGCTCTGATTTTTGAATCATTGACTCTATTATCTTATAGAGGCCTGAGGCAAAAGTATTTGTTGATCATTAAGGCCGGAGTAAATTTCCTATGAACTTCCCAAAGGAAAGGTAGGAAATCTTAGACCAAACTGCAAGTTCCCATTAACTCTCACTATAAATTTCAGTGCACAAATTGGAGCCCCTCCTAAAAACTCTGCTAAGCCACAATGGCAACATGTGACAGGTGAGATGGGCAGAAAGTCACATAAAAGAGCAGTGAATATCCACAGCTTTGCTAATTCCACCAAGATGTCAAACAAATATGGACTTCATACTAACTCTCTGGCCTAAGCTAGGGGAACTCTTGCAACATAGCCATTCTAAATCTCTCTGGATTTAACCCAAGGGAAACTTGAATTTAAACTTAATATGCTAGGGGCACCTGGTTGAGCATCCATTCTACTTAGGCTCAGGTCACGATCTCACAGCTCGTGGGTTCGAGCTCCTCATCAGGTTCTGTGTTGACAGCTCACAGCCTGAAGCCTGCTTCGGATTCTGTGTTTCCCTCTCTGCTCTTCTCTCTCTCTCTCTCTCTCTCTCAAAAATAAACATTAAATTTTTTTTTAATATGCTAGAAGTCCACAACCCCTCAAGGCCAAAAAACAAAATGACTGCTCTGAAAACACAACCCTGAAGAAGCTCAAGAACTTTCCGGCTTCATCTGTCTTAAAACACCAGCTTGGGTAAAACCATCTATCTATCTATCTATCTATCTATCTATCTATCTATCTTTCTTTTCTTTCTTTCTTTCTTTCTTTCTTTCTTTCTTTCTTTCTTTCTCTCTCTCTCTCTCTCTCTTTCTTTCTTTCTTTCTTTCTTTCTCTTTCTTTCTTTCTTTCTTTCTTTTTTTCTTTCCCTTTCCCTTCCCCTTCCCCTTCCCCTTCCCCTTCCCCTTTCCTTTCCTTTCCTTTCCTTTCTTTCTTTCTTTCTTTCTTTCTTTCTTTCTTAGAAAAAAATTTTAGGTTTTATTTACTTTGAGAGAGATGGCACAAGCAGGGGAGGGGCAGAGATAGAGGGAGAGAGAGAGAATGCCAAGCAGGCTCTGCACTGCCACCACAGAGCCAGACACGAGGCTTGAACCCACGGACTGTGAGATCATGACCTGAGCCAAAACCAACAGTCGGACGCTCAACCGACTGAGCCACCCCGGTGCTCCCAAAGCCATCTTTCTTATTACTTTGTTTTCTCGTGGAGCATACCAGAGGAGGGAAAGCAATCATACCTGGGGTCTAAAATCACTAGCTACACTGGGCAGAGGCAAACTTTTGGATTCCTTGATAAAAGGCCAAAGTTGTACACTAAATGGTTTTAGGATGAACACAATACTAAAGATTGCAGCTAAAGAAAAATGACTGGCTTGAGATAAAAGGGGGCTTGTTTCGTAAAGTCAAAATGTCCCAGGTGAATAAACAGCATTAACTTTTCTCATGCATAGCTGTAATTTAAGAGAGGAAAATTCTGGTATATTAAAATTGCAGTGAATAAAAAGAAATCCAGTATGTGTTTAGTCATTCAGTACTTACATAAACCACTTAATTTATAATAACAAACTCAGATGGCCTATGTCAGCAGCCTAGTTGGGAAAAGCATAGTTTCTTTGTACAAGAACAGTATTACCAGAGATAAACATCAAGAATTACTCATTAAGCTAAAGGGAAATCTGAGAATTAACAAATCTTAGTCTAAAGAGACACAGAGAAGTTTGGTTGTTCAAAATTTACACAATAATTTCCCCATGTACGTGAAAATAGGTGAACCAATTGTTTAGGGAAGGAACATCTAAACTTGGTTTGCTTTGAACCTCGTGATTGCTTCCCTAAGACAGGGAATTTAAGTTGAATGAAAAGTGCTGTGGAGCTGGAAAAGGACTATTTTCTGTCAGTGAAGGTAAGACCACCCTATAAGATGAACTGAAACCCTGAAATTTCCTGCCAGCAAGGGAGAATAACTGAGGTAATTTCATACATATTATTCTGGAACTGGGAACCTCTGAGCCAGCCCTTTTCAATCTCCTCAGTTTCTTCTCTATAATTAGAACCTGGCCACAACCATTTCAAATAATGAATCTTATGGCTGGTATGAAAACTTGATTTCAGGAGTATACTTTCAAAAACCATTTAAGAATAAATATGGCCAATATAATTCTGTTTCCAATCATTAAAATTTGTTCTGCAGAACCAAACAGAAAACTATAAGAAAATGTTAAAATAAAATTTTTCAGGCTGAAGAAATAATCGAATCCATAGTTAAGAAATTGAAATTCTTGAGAGGATTTAGAAAAATTATATAAAGAAAGTGGCCTGAAGCCAGGCATGTAGCAGCACAACACATTAGATCCTTCCATCTGTTTTCTCTGGATACTCAAAATTTTAACGCAAGGAATGTGTGGGTGTTAGTCAAATCTTTTGATTCAATGAACAAAATGTCTTTAAAATGTTTCACTGTCAAGGCCTGCCAGAGGAAGGCATCAGAAGAGCATACTATATGGTATTGGAAGTATTCCTGCCATAAGCTTATCACAATTCCCTCCATCTCCAGCCAAAGGTCATGTCCCACATAGTCGCCCAGGCTGAAAATAATTCTAATCCACTAGAGTTACACATAGAATGTGCCATTCCAGTGACAGCGCAGCTTACAGCAAGAGTTCTCCTCTAATGGGACTGACAACAGTAAGATTTTATTTCTAAATGTGTCTTGGAGCTTTCAAAGATTAAAACACACAGATCTTCACCACCCCAGCCTCCTTGCCTGTACAGGAAACAACCAAGTTGTGAGAGCGTTTATCAGGCATGGACAGACACATCAGGCCTTGCAGGTGCTAGACAGGAATCACAAATGCTGTTCCATGAGATGTCTTCTGTTAACCCGAAGCCTTTGCTTTATTTTGTTTAGCAAACCACTCATCACTTTTATCTGCCGCCATTGCCTATAGAAAGAGAATCGGAATGTATATTCAAGTCTATAAAACAAAACATACAGTCCACTTGGTGCCTCTCATTGCAAGTGCATTGTCCACAGTCATTAACAATTACAATATACTGAATGCATTCATTCGGTACAGAGTATTATGTTTAATTTCACTGGATGCTGAGGAGTTTTGAGCAACTGTTTGCAGATTCTCACATGGCAGAGCGAAGGGTAAAGCGTGCAGCCAGGGGGTGTGGCTGGACAGCTGACTGATCAGAGAGCAAGGAGCAAGCACACGAGTCTGCGGGGTCCTTGGTAGAACAAAAGGCTTGTCACTCTTCGCGTCTGGGTAGGCTCTCAAGAACTTTCAGTGCTAATGAGACTCAGTGTTACGAGACCAGATATGAAAAGCTATTTTCATGTTTTAGCCATTAAGCCTGGAATGATTTGCTTTTACAATGACTCCTCTGATACCATTCTACTGATGTTGGTACTGTTTGGTTAGTTTGGGACCTCTTAATTAAAAAGGAAGCCTTGTGAATATGTTTTGGTTCCACTGGAGTATTTTTATTTTATTATTCCATGAGGCTGAGACCATGGAGAAGGGCTTATAGAGTGATCTAGGCTTAGAACCTAAGTCTTTTAAAACTTCCTGTCCAGGGGCACCTGGGTGCTCAATCTGTTAAGCGTCCAACTTCGGCTCAGGTCATCGTCTCACGGTTCGTGAGTTTGAGCCCCACATTGGGCTCTGTGCTGACAGCTCAGAGCCTGGAGCCTGCTTCGAATTCTGTGTCTCCCTCTCTCTCTCTCTGCCTCTCCCCTGCTCGCTCTCTGTCTCTCTCTCTCTCAAAAAGATAAAAACATTAAAAAAAAAAACCCAACTTCCTGTAATAAAAAAATGCATATGCTAAAAGGGTATTTGGTAAGGATATACATTAATTTATTCAGTCAAAAATCAAGTACAGAAATACCTTTAAAAATGTCAGTTTTCATTATGAGCCAGGTATTATGCTAGGTTCGGGTGTGGTGGCAGAGACCTAGTCTGAGGCTTTGAGGAGCACACAGAATAGCTGAGGACTCAGATGGAGACAACTATTTTGCATGAGGGAGCACGCATGTGTGTGTCTCGTAGGGCATTTGCTATAAGAGACGAACAAGGTGATATGAGACCAAAAGAAAACAACTAAGTGGTTGGAGAAATGGTATAAAAAGACTCATATACCTCAGCAGGAAGTGCAAAGATGGTGTCTGCCACTGAAAATGAAGAAACAGAAGTATATGTATTTTTTATTTAGAAACCGTGAAGGTGAAAGCGGCTGTCTTGGACGGTGGGATTCAGAGATGGGACTAGACACCGTCGCACTGACTTATATAAAATCTTAGCGTTATGTGACTTTCTTTTGATGAACATAAAAAGGTTTTTGAAAATCAAGGTATGCAAAATAAGAGAAAACCGACAAAGGTGCAGAAGTTTCTGTCACTTAGGAGCCATAAAAAATGAGGGAAACAACAAACGCTGGTGTGGAGGATCCAAGAAAGCTTCGGAGTTCCGAAGGATGAGCTGACTAAGAAGGAAGGAAACAAACCTTTGGGTGGAGGCAAGAAGATACATCTTGGTGAATATACACGGCTCAGTGGGACTAGAACAGGAGCAAGGGTGGGAGAGGGGCAGCACGGATCAGATAGCAGGGAAGGGCCAGACACGCTCCATGCTCTGTCAGAGTTTGGAATGTATCCTGGAGGCAGCAGGAGCTATGAGAAGACTAAACGGTTTTTGAAATGACTGGATTTATGTGTTAGAAAGCTGGTGTTGGCAGCAGGGATGGCTGGAAGGTGAGAGGAGGCTTTTGCACTATTATAGGTGATAATGAGGGCCCTTTACAAAGGGAAGTGGATAGACGAGAGATTTCAGAGTGGAACTCACACCTCTTGGTGACTAAATAGCTAACAGAACTTAGGGGTGAGGAGAAACAATGTTCAAAAATTGCTTTTTAATTCCAAAACAATTCTAAGATAAAAAGCCTATTAAATGTGAAAGTAAAAGCAGTTCCACTGCTAGGTATTTACCCAAGAGAAATGAAACATGTCTACGAGACTTCTACAAGGATGTTCCTAACAGTCTTCCTTCTTTTTTTTTTTTTTTTTAATGTTTATTTATTTTTGAGAGAGAGAGAGACAGAGTGTGAGCAGGGGAGGGGCAGAGAGAGAGGGAGACACAGAATCGGAAGCAGGCTCCAGGCTCCGAGCTGTCAGCACGGAGCCCGACGCGGGGCTCGAACTCACAGACTGTGAGGTCATGACCTGAGCTGAAGTCGGCCGCTTAACCGACTGAGCCACCCAGGCGCCCCGTAACAGTCTTCCTTCTAATAGATAAAAATGTTAAATTGCTCCACCTTTTTTTAAACATTTTTTCATGTTTATTTTTTGAGAGAGAGAGACAGAGCATGAGCAGGGCAGCAGCAAAGAGACAGGGAGACACAGAATCCAAAGCAGGCTCCAAGGGCCGAGAGGTCAGCACAGAGCCTGATACGGGGCTTGAACTCATGAACTGTGAGATCATGACCTAAGCTGAAGTCAGACACTTAACCAACTGAGCCACCTAGGAGCCCCTAAATTGCTCTGCTTAATAAAAAAAAAAAAAAAAAAAAAAAAGTTTTATTTATTTTTTAGTAATCTCTACACCCAATGTGGGGCTTGAACTCACAACTCTGAGATCAAAGAGTTGCATGCTCTTCCAAGTGAGTCAGCCAGGTGCCCCTAAATTGTTCTACTTTTTGAAATGCCCATGGATATCTGGGTGAAGAGGTTTCGCTGACTGTTAACACTAGTCTGGACAGAGACAGCACTAAACATTAAAAAAAGCTGATAAAACTGGACTTAAAATTTTTTCTGCTCTTCCCCACTTACAGCAATGGACAGATCATCTAAACAGAAAATCAACAAGAAAACAATGGCTTTGAATGACACACTGGACCGGATGGACTTAATGGATACATTTAGAACATTTCATCCTAAAGCAGTGGAATACACATTCTTCTCAAGTGCACATGGAACATTCGCCAGAAAAGATCACATACTGGGACACAAATCAGCCCTCAACAAGTACAAAAAGATTGAGATCATACTGTGCATATTTTCAGACCACAACACTATGAAACTCGCAATCAACCACAAGAAAAAATGTGGAAAGATAACAAATACTTGGAGACTAAAATTTTTTCTGTTCTTATAAGACTGTGTTAAAATAAATCAGCAAGCCATAGATTGGGAATAGTACTTGCATTTGTAGAGATTTAACAAATGACTTGCTTCCAGAACTCCAATAAATCAATGAGATTTTTTTAAAAAAACAGATTTGAGGGGCGCCTGGGTGGCGCAGTCGGTTAAGTGTCCGACTTCAGCCAGGTCACGATCTCGCAGTCCGTGAGTTCGAGCCCCGCGTCGGGCTCTGGGCTGATGTCTCAGAGCCTGGAGCCTGTTTCCGATTCTGTGTCTCCCTCTCTCTCTGCCCCTCCCCCGTTCATGCTCTGTCTCTCTCTGTCCCAAAAATAAATAAACGTTGAAAAAAAAATTAAAAAAAAAAAACAAAACAAAACAGATTTGAGCAGGCCTTGAAAAATAAGCAAAAACTCAAATGACAGAAGGGCCATTCCAGGAGAATAAAGTCATGTGAGCAGACACACAGTATGGAAATACATTCATATTTAGAGATTATAGACTAGAATAGCTAAGATGTAAAAGAGATCAGAGGTGTCTCTTCTAATCTGTTTGTCATGAAACTCAGTGGATCATATACATTGTTCTGTATTGATATAGTCCAATTATATTAAATATAATTAAAAAATACATAGGGAGGGGTGCCTGGGTGGCTCAGTCGGTTGAGCATCTGACTCTTGATTTTGGCTCAGTCATGATCCCAGGGTTGTGGGATGGAGCCCTGCATTGGATGCTCAGGGAAATTTTAACAAAAACTGGGTTTTCACTGACATTAAGGATATAGCATTGATTTTTTTGGGTGTAATATCAATATGGTATATAAGAAAATTTCTTGATTTTTATTTTTTTTAATTTTTACTTCTTTTAAGTCATCTTAAAATGTATAAAATACTTAAGTATTTAGGACTGAAATACAACATCTAAGATTTGCCTTAAAATTCCCCAGGGGGAAAAAAAAAAGTGGGGTGGAGGGAATGATGAAAGATTATGGCAGAGTTGAATGGTGACAATCACATAGGGATTTGCTGTATTCTCCTATGTGTTTCTGGAATTTTTAATCATCAAGTATTAAAAATAAAATCTACTAAGGAAAGAAATGGATGAAAGATTTGAACATAAAATTCACGAAGGAAGATATGCAATAAGCAAATGCAAAGGTGTTCAACATCAACAGTTATCAGGGAAATGCACATTAAGCCACACTGAGAAACCCCTGTACATGTTCTAGGAGAGCTAAAACAAAAACCCAGAAGAGCACAAATGCTGATGAGGATGTGGAAAAGTCGGAACTCTCAGATACGTACATGGCTGGCAGGAGCGTAAAATGGTTCAACTGCTTTGTACAGTGGTGGCAGTTTCTTACAAAGTAAGAACAGTTCCTCTCTTAGGTATTTACCCAAGAAAAATGATTCATGTCTATAAGATTCACACAAGAGTGTTCACAGTAGGGGCGCCTGGATGGCTCAGCTGGTCAAGTATCTGGCTCTTGACTTCAGTTCAGGTCATGATTTCACAGTTTGTGGGATCAAGCACCGTGTTAGCCTCTGTGCTAATGTCAAGGAGCCAGCTTGGGATTCTCCTCCTCTCTCCCTCTCTCTCTGCCCCTCCCCTACTCGTGCTCTCTGTCTCTCTCTCAAAATAAAGAAACTTAAAAAAAAAAAAAGAACGTTCACAGTAGTCTTCCTTATAAATAGATAAAACTCTGGAAATAACTTAAATATCCACCATTGGAAGAATGGGTAAGCAAATCATCATATTCATAAAATTGAATACCGTTCAGCAATTAAAAAAAAATGGGGCGCCTGGGTGGTGCAGTTGGTTAAGCATCCGACTTCAGCCAGGTCACGATCTCGCGGTCCGGGAGTTCGAGCCCCGCGTCGGGCTCTGGGCTGATGGCTCAGAGCCTGGAGCCTGTTTCCGATTCTGTGTCTCCCTCTCTCTCTGCCCCTCCCCTGTTCATGCTCTGTCTCTCTCTGTCCCAAAAATAAATAAACGTTGAAAAAAAAAAAAAAAAAGAACATGGGCGCCTGGGTGGCTCAGTCAGTTAAGCATCCGACTTTGGCTCACGTCATGATCTCATCACAGTTTTTGAGTTTGAGCCCCGAATTGGGCTGCTTTGGATTCTCTCTCTGTCTCTCTCTCTCTCTTTCTGCCCCTCCCCGTTCATGTTCTTTCTCTAAGAAATAAATAAACATAAAGAAAAAAGAACTCTGATATGTACAATTACATGGAGGAATCTCAAAAATGTTATGTTGGGTGACAGAATCCAGGCACAAAAGAATATCTACTGAGTGATTCCATTTTTAAGTCCAAGGACAAACACAAATAAGGTGACAGAAATCAGTACAGTAGTTGGCTACTGTAGTAGTTGGTGGGAACTAGCTGGAAATGGGCACGAGAGAACTTTCTACAATGATGAAAGTGCTCTATATTTTGAGCAGCAGTTGTATGAGAAGAGTTAGCTGTCAAAACTTATAAAATTGAACACTAAATTTCTGTTTATTTAAATTCTAGGCAGAGGCTCCTGGGTAGCCCAGATTCCCTCTCTCCCTCTGCCCCTCTATCCTGCTCAAGCTCTCTTAAAAACAAACAAACAAACAAAAAAATCTCATATATATTTTACCTCAGTAACAACAACAAAAAATACTTGTTTGGAGCTTAGGGAGGAGTAGGGACTAGAAATTAGAAGTCAGAGAATGGGGGTACCTGGGTGGCTCAGTCAGTTAAGTGTTCAACTCTTGTTTTCAGCTCAGGTCATGATCTCATGGTTCATGGGTTCAGCCCCATATTGGGCTCTGCGCTGACAGTGCGGGGCCTGATTAGGACTCTCTATCCTCTCTCTGCCCCTCCCCTGCTCTTGCTGCCTCTCAAAATAAATAAATTAAAAAAAAACAACAGAGGGTCGGAGAATGATGGTTGCAGCTCAGCGCAGAGGTAACCAGAGGACTCAGAGAAGAAGAATGGCACATGAGAATAAAAGAGCCAAAGTGGGACCACATGTAAATCATTTTGGAATGAGACAGAAAGCCATGCCTGTGTCTGCGAAGCTGTCAAATATGAAGACGGCAGGATCTGTAAGACCAAAGCAGAAGTGAGCTCGAAAGAGGACGAAGTTGGTCAGTGATATGAAAGAGCAAGAAGGATGGGGCGCCTGGGTGGCGCAGTCGGTTAAGCGTCCGACTTCAGCCAGGTCACGATCTCGCGGTCCGTGAGTTCGAGCCCCGCGTCGGGCTCTGGGCTGATGGCTCAGAGCCTGGAGCCTGTTTCCGATTCTGTGTCTCCCTCTCTCTCCGCCCCTCCCCCGTTCATGCTCTGTCTCTCTCTGTCCCAAAAATAAATAAACGTTAAAAAAAAAAAAAAAGAGTAAGAAGGAAAAGAGTCTAACGAATGTGCCACCTGAGAGGCTGCCTGACATTCTCCTTTCCTTCATGATAAAATTTATAAACACTACATTTTCTGTCTCTTGCTTTTGCTAACATTAACTGAATGTCTGTTATTATGTCAGCAGTTTGCCACGTTCTAGAAGCCACACGACAATCCTAGGAGGTGGCTAATACGATTTTCTCAAATTTTTAGGTAAGAAAACTGAAGTTTAGGGGTGCCTGAGCATGCAACTCTTGATCTTGGGGGTTGTGGGTTCGAGCCCCACATTGGACACAGAGATTTCTTAAAGGAAAACAACACTGAAGTTCAGAGAATTTAAGCAAATCACTTAAGGTCAGTCACACAGATATTAAGTGACGGAACCAGGACAGATGGATTCATTCCTTTAATCATCAACAGAGCACTCGCAGAGTTCCCATTACACACCCAGTGTGTGCCAGGAGCTGGAGTACAACAACTGCTTTGGATGCTGCTGAAGACTGAGTTTGAGGAAGATAGAAAAGTAGCTGTGGGACTAAGCAAGACGGAGGTCATGGGTGACATCTACATGAGCGTTTCACAGAGTCACAGGAGCCAGCGCACAACAGGCTGAAGCATGAAAGGGGTAAGAAGTAGAAATGGTATGTGGGCAGATTTTTTTAAAAGAAATACGGAGAAGGGGTTTGGGGGTAAAAGATTTTTAAAAGATGGGAGACTTGAAAGCTTGTTTGTGTGTGGAGGAGAACCATTCACTGGAAAGGACAGGGGTGGCAGTGTAGATTGGAGATGAGGGGACCAAAAGAGCTAAGAAGTGAGGGGGTGCATCCGGGCATTTCCCTTAGCAAGCGGAGTCATGATGCATACAGCAGAGCAGCAGTGGTTGCCCAGGCAGCCTGAGCACATGCGAAGGGACAAATGCTGCACCCAGTTAAGGGTCACGTTGGGTGTAGATTACTTTAAAAACATAAAATATTTCGGGGCGCCTGGGTGGCTCAGTCGGTGAAGCGGCCGACTTCAGCTCAGGTCACAATCTCACGGTCTGTGAGTTCGAGCCCCGCGTCGGGCTCTGGGCTGATGGCTCGGAGCCTGGAGCCTGCTTCTGATTCTGTGTCTCCCTCTCTCTCTGCCCCTCCCCCGTTCATGCTCTGTCTCTCTCTGTCTCAAAAATAAATAAAAACGTTAAAAAAAAAATTTTAAATAAAAACATAAAATATTTTAGGGGTGCCTGGCTGGCTCAATCGGTAGAGCATGAGACTCTTGATTTCAAAGGTTGTGGGTTTGAGCCCCATGTTGGGTATAGAGATTACTTAAAAATAAAATCTTCTGGGGCGCCTGGGTGGCGCAGTCGGTTAAGAGTCCGACTTCAGCCAGGTCACGATCTCGCGGTCCGGGAGTTCGAGCCCCGCGTCAGGCTCTGGGCTGATGGCTCGGAGCCTGGAGCCTGTTTCCGATTCTGTGTCTCCCTCTCTCTCTGCCCCTCCCCCGTTCATGCTCTGTCTCTCTCTGTCCCAAAAATAAATAAACGTTGAAAAAAAAAATTTAAAATAAATAAATAAATAAATAAATAAAATCTTCAAACAAAACAAGAGTCATATGGGTGGCAATGAAAACACATAGTCCTGGCTCAAAAGTCACCCCAACAGCAAAAGGACACAGCTGTGGAGCCTGTTGCTTTGGCCCTTCCCCCACACACTTAAGACCATCCCCAGTGGGCCTGTGGGAATATAAAGTCAGAAATGAGACTCACATCATCCAACAATTTGCTTCCTTCTGGATCCATCTCAGAAAGTTCTCGAAATGCTTCATCCCCCACAAAGCAAATTTCATGTCCATCCTACCGCAATAAAGAGAAAAGACATTTGGCGGAAAGACACCTTGCAGAAACCCCTGGTGCAGCCCACCCCTTCCCTGAGTAATACTTACAGGGTCAGCCAGAATGACCACTTGCACTGTTGCTTTCCCTGGGGTATCCAGACTCACCAGGGGAGTCAGAATCTTCTGGTTCTCCCTTTTCATTAAGTCTTCTAAGTCTGATAACTTGAGGAAGACAAAGAGGCAAAGTGAGCAAGGGGTCATGTACCACTCACGCTGTGGTCCTCAGCGGCCCTGGGGGAGGATGAGATCAACCAGAGAGAACTCGGGCACCATGTGTTTGATTTTATTAACTCAGCTGCTCTTGAGACAACTGTTGAACTTGATACCAAAGCCACAATCAGAATGAACCGAAAGAAGTGGGGGGGGGGGGGGGGCCCGACATTCTTAGCAGGTTCAACCAGCTAGTCACAGAGCTTAAACCAAAGAGCTAGGACCAAACATTACCTCTTTTTGGGGGCAAGAAAAGGCAATTCTTCCAAAAGCTGCTGCATGATCAACTGTACCTTTGATACCCTGTAGTTCGAGCTTACACTGAAAAGAAATAAGAAAGGTTTATTTTTTGGAACACATTATATGTATGGTTAAAAAAAAAATTCTGGGGTGCCTGGGTGGCGCAGTCGGTTGAGCGTCTGACTTCAGCCAGGTCACGATCTCGAGGTCCGTGAGTTCGAGCCCCGCATCAGGCTCTGGGCTGATGGCTCAGAGCCTGGAGCCTGTTTCCGATTCTGTGTCTCCCTCTCTCTCTGCCCCTCCCCCGTACATGCTCTGTCTCTCTCTGTCCCAAAAATAAATAAATGTTGAAAAAAAAAAATTCAAAAAGTACTAAAGGAATAAAGTTAAAACTAACGCTCCCTTCTACTCTCCCCAGTGGCAACTAGTCAACAGTTTCCTGGAAGACACATGGCATGCACAGATCTTCTTTTTTTTTCACACAAACGGTGGCATAATTTACACATTATTCTGTCCCTTGTTTCTACCCAATGTTACTATGTCAGCATGTAAGGATTCACCCCATTCTTTCTGACAGCTGCACAGTAATCCATTCTATGGATGAACCATAAATTATTGAACTACTCCTCTAATGCACAGAACACTGAGGTTATTTCTTATTCTTTGCTATTACAAACAGTGCTGCAACAGATAACTTTGTACACATTTCTTTGTGCACGTGTATGGTGAGTACGTCTGTAAAATAAATTCCTGGGAGCAGACCTGCTGAGTCAGAGTGCACGGACTAAATCATGTTCAAATGCTAGGTTATTTAAGGGAAAAAAAAAAGATGAAAATCAATGATCACTTCTGACTCTGCAAAGGTTATAGCCCTAAAAATAAACAAAGGTAATATATGGGTGATGGTTATCAGCAATTTTTATTTTCTTCTTTCTGCTTACCTATGTAAATATTGAGTCACTGTGAAAAACTCTGAGAATAACCTTCATGTGATCCTCATTTGTAAGCCAAACTCAAAGTAACAGATTACTTCTCTCCAAGATCACTCACCTGGTTATCAGCATAGCCCAGCAAAGCCCTTTGCTTTTCTTCATCTTTTTCATAAATTTTCATTCCCAGTAGATTAGACCAGTAGTTCAAGGATTTCTGAAGATCAGACACTGCTAGAGTTACTTTTAATATAGGATCTGGAGAGTAATAAAACAGTAGGAATGGATAGGTCAGCACAGTGGAATAGAACAGGAAGACTAAATCAGGCTCGTGTATATATGAGTTCAGTTTACGATAAGAAAGGGATGATAAGTCAGTATGAAAGTGCACATTATTCAAAAAATGGCATGAAGAAAGCCGGCTTGTCATTTGGTTAGAAAAATTACACCTTTAAACGAAATGGCAAAATACATTCCTAATGGGTTAAAGGATTTAGTTTAAAGAATGAAATCATGGGGTGCCTGGGTGGCTCAGTGGGTTAAGCATCCGCCTTTGGCTCAGGTCATGATCTCACGGTTTGTGAGTGCGAGCCCCGTTGGGCTCTGTGCTGACAGCTCAGAGCCTGGAGCCTGCTTCGGATTCTGTGTCTCCCTCTCTCTCTGCCCCTTCCCTGCTTGTGCTGTCTCTCAAAAATGAATAAATGTTAAATAAAAAAAAAATGAAATCATGAAAATACTAAAAACAATTATTATTACAATTATTATTATTGCTACAATTTTGGGGTGTAGAAAGATTTTTTTTTAAACCTGACACCAAAGGTAGAAAAACCAGGAAAGAAAAAATGTATTAGGTTAATCACATGAAATGGAAAATTCCTAGACAACAACCACCCCCCTCCAAGAAAAGAAAAAAAAAATGATAATCAAAGAGTAAATGACAAAGTGAGAAACATTTTTGCAACATATATGACAAAAAGTCCTGAATACTTTTTTACTCTTTTAGTTTATTTATTTATTCTTGAGAGAAAGAGGGGGGGAGAGAGAGAGAGAACGAGCAAGGAAGGGGCAGAAAGAGAGGAAGAGAGGATCCCAAGCAGGTTCCACACTGTCAGCACAGAGCCTGACTCAGGGCTCAAACCCATGAACTGTCAGATCATGACCTGAGCTGAAATCAAGACTCAGAGGCTCGACTGACTGAGCCACTCAGGCGCCCCAGTCCTTAATATTTAAATCACCTTTAAACATTAGTAGAAAAAAGACGAACATCCTAAAAAAATAGGTAAAAAGCACAAAGCGGTAACCCACAAAAGAAGGACTTGGAATGGTCAATGAACACATGAAAAAACATTCAACCTCACAAATAATCAAAGAATTTGGAATTAAAACACAACATTTTGCCATCTCACTGGCAGATAATTTTAAAAGTTCAGTGTTAACTGTGATAGGGCAGGGGGAAGAATCATAATTATATAGTACTGGCAGAGTGTAAATTATAAATTAGTTCCTTTCTGGGCAGCAATTTGACAGAATGTACCCAAAGCCTGAAAAAATGTAAACTGCTTTTGAAAGAGCTATCCTATTATCACCAATTAAAGAAGTAATTGTAGATGTATGAAGGGCTTTCTGCACAAAGACACTCTTTACACTGTTGCTTGTAACAATGAAACACTAAGGACAACATAAACATCCAACAATAGGCACTGTTTGATTCCTGGATGTAATACATAGGAATCGCTATAATGGAACATAAGATACACATACATACATACATATACATACACACATATATATGCGTACATACGTATGTATACACACATATACATATACGTACATATATATATATATATATATATATACGTACACACACACACATACAAACATAGATATACATTCCTTTTGATAAATGATTGAAAGATACACTCTAAAATGTTAACAGTGATTATCTCTGGCTATGTGGGTACTGTTTTCGTCTTTCTTCTTTGCTTATCTGTGTAGGAAAAAAAAATCTATTTTTTCCAAAAAGAATAAAAGTTCTATTAAAACATTTAACATTATTGGAAATTTTTATATTGTAAAGTGACCCCTGAAGAGCTGTTCTGACTATGGTAAATTCAGTACATTTGTCTTCAGTTTTCACCGCCTCGGCCCGTCTCTCTGCCTCTCCCCTGTGCATGTGTGCACTCTCTCTCTCCCCGCGAGGGAAGTGGCTCTAGGACAGGTGGACCCCCGTGGGCAAGACAATGGAGAGAAGAGTTGGATTCTTGATGCCATTGCTGAGATGCTGAGTCCACTAACACTGAGCTGTTCCTACCTATAGGATACCCGCTCCGTGAGCTAGAACGTTTTCTTCATGTGCCAGCTAGTCTGAGATCGATTTTGATACAGCTGAAAATATCCTAGTAGGTATTAGCAGTAGGATAGAGCCCAAACCAGTTTAGATTCCCTAGAATTATGCACTGAAGTTCTAATATGAAAATATGATTTCTCAAAGAACAAAACGCTGGCTTGGGAAAGACATGTCATCGCAACACAGAAAGACTTCACGGGAGAAAGAAATCTGGCTCCTCCTTTCATCAAAGATGTCGTTAGACAGAGGGCTTTTACTAGTCCCGCTATAATTACCTGACTGAGGTGGACTTCGATTCTGCAAATAGAACTTATATCCTTCTGGGGCTTCAGTTTCAAAAACACCTTCCGTAACTTCGCTGAGTGGCCACTCCAGCCTTCTGGCATTGCTGACGGCCTGGTTAGAAGCGAGTGTGATACCCTGTGACAAACAACAGTACCATCAACTGTATAACCATGGATCTTTTCTAGAACAAGATAATGAGGCAAAACCCCGCTGCCTTTACATGATGCCACCGAAGATTTAATTGGCATTCAAAATTTTCGCCTAGGACATATTTCTCCTCCAAAGATTCCAAATGTTGTGAAATGTAGGACAGAAATTCAAAGGCTAGAGAAGTTTGATCCATTTAACACCAAAGATAATCTTTCATTTTTGTTTTTTGTTTAAAATTTTTATTTAACAAAGATAATCTCTTCTAATTTTAAAGATCTAGTCAGAGAAATCTTGATCTTACTTTAGTTTGCCAGCTACCTATTTAAGATGTTTTTTATTTTTGCTTTCTAAACAAAATAATTTAAGCCAATTATCAAGGTATCATTTAAATTTAATCAAAATACCTAAAAATGTACACTGTCTTCTGATAAGACCAGCAGCACTTTTTTTTTAATTAAAAAAAAATGTTTATTTATTTGTGAGAGAGAGACAGAGTGTGAGTGGGGGAGGGTCAGAGAGAGAGGGAGACACAGAATCTGAAGCAGGCTCCAGGCTCTGAGCTGTCAGCACAGAGCCCGAGGCAGGGCTCGAACTCACAAACCGTGAGATCATGACCTGAGCCGAAGTTGGAGGCTCAACCAACTGAGCCACCCAGGCACCCCAGACCAGCTGCACTTCTAACTTGGATTATCATAACAGCTTCTCTTGGGGCGCCTGGATGACTCAGTCAGTTATGTGTCTGATTCTTGATTTCGGCTCAAGTCATGATCTCGCAGTTCGTGAGATCAAGACCTGCGTCAGGCTCTGCACTGATAACGTGGAGCCTGCTTGGGATTCTCACTCTTTCCTCTCTCTGTCCCGCACATGTGCTCTCTTAAAATAAATAAACATTAAAAAAAAAAAAAAAAAAGCCAGCCTCTCTTTCCCTGAGTCTTGTCAATCCATCCTCCATTCTGCAGCCAGAGTAAAATTTCTGAAACACACCCTACTCTCAAGACAGCGACCTTATGTTGTTTTTCCCCTGCTTAAAACCCTTGATAGCTCCTCATGTCGCTCAAGGATGGCTCCTAATGGCCTGAAAGGCCCAAAACAATCCGAGCCCAGGTCATTTCGGACCCGTCTCCTCTCACTTTCCTCTTGCTCTGTCTATTCCAGCCACACTGGCCTCCGTGCATTTTCTCAAATGTGCCAGCTGCTGTTTGAGGGCTTCTGCACAGGCTGTTCTCTATCTGGATTGCTCTTCCCCAGGATTCCACATGCCTAACTCTTCTCTCCTGAGAGAATTTCCCCTAATGTCACCTCCTCATTGATCCCTACCCTTGAAACCTTCGTTAAAACTAAAACCAGTCACTTGTCCCATAATCCCCACCACCCCTTATTCTGCTATGACTTTATTCCCCTGCCAGGCATAAATTTTTGTCTGTTTCATTCACTGGTTATCCAAAGTTCCTAGAACTGTGCCTGGCACATAGAAGGCACTCAATACATATTTGTGGCATGAATAAACACCACAATGTGTAATTTAGTACATAGTTCATTAAACATATTTGTGAACATACATGTAAACTAAGTTCCTAAGTGTGAAACTGCAAGGCCAAAGGATAGATGCATTAATTATTTTGATAGTGACAAAGTGAGGTTGTAGCCATGTACACCCTTACTAGTAACGTGTGAGAGTGGCGCTTTTTTAACACCCTTTCTAACACAGCGCGTTATCACACTTTTTGAGTTTTGCCAATCGGTGACAAATGGCAGCTTGGCAGCTGAACATTTTTTTTTCAATGTTTAAGAGACATTTCTCATGTACTTTCTGTGGCTGTCTATTCAGTTTTTGTCCTTTTTTCAAAAAATTAAGTTGTTGATCCTCTTTTTTTTTGTTTAATTTTGCAACGGTTATTTATTTTTGAGAGAGAGATAGACCGTGAGCGGGGGAGGGGCAGAGAGAGAGAGAGGGAGACACAGAATCCGAAGCAGGCTCCAGGCCCCGTGCTCTCGGCACAGAGCCTGACGCGGGGCCCAAACCTATGAACCGCGAGATCATGACCTGAGCCGAAGTCAGGCACCCAACCGACTGAGCCACCCAGGCTCCCCATCCTCCTCTTTTTCATCCCTGTACAGGGATTCTTTACAGAAGTGGGAGGTCTATGTAACCTGTTTTTCTTTTTGTTCCACAAACTGAGGAGCACCAAAGGTCCCTTTCCTCAGGGATACTTTCCTGCCGGAGTCTCTCAGGAAGACCCAGGGCGGAACAGCCAAGCTGCTCTCCTCCACCTACATGCTCTCTGGCCCCTGCGGCTCCATCAGTCAACATCTGACTGGAGCCGGTGCAATGTTCATGGTGCCAAATGGTTTTGCTCTTTCTTCTCTCCCTGATTTAAATTTGGAGAGTGAAGAAAAGGAGAAACACAAAGAAATTTTCACGTACACTCAATCACCAAATCCTCTTAACTCTACCTCCTAAACAGCTCTCAAGTCCACCCACTTCTCTCCATCTCCCACAACTACCAGGTTAGGTAAGGAGCGGCCAGTTGCTTCCCATACCACCCTTTGAGCCAGTTACCTCACTTCCAGTTTGGCTCCCTTCCAACCTGATCTCCGTGCTGCAGCCAGGCGGATTCTTGCACACCACACTGTGTCATCCCCGCCGCTTAAAAATGGCTTCACTCTATTTTTAGAATGTAGTCTGAACACCCTCACGTGATGTGGTCCCAGCTTACTTCTCCAGCCTCACATCTGCCCCTTCGTCTTCACGCACCTCACTCGACACAAACTGCGCTACTCACTGTCCCCTGACTGCCATGCTGCCTCTCACCTCCAGGCCTGCGCGCATGCCGAGACACAAGTCTCACTCTCCCACCCCGACCCCACTCACCAGCTCGGCTGTCACTTCTGGAGAGATTTCCCTGCACTCTCACCTCTCTGGGAATAAGCTGGGAGTTCTTCCCAGGTGTTCCCACATCTGCCTGTCCTCATCCCAATCCTGGTACTTATCACACTGCATTCTTTTGTCTCTTTACTTATTTCCCCACAAGACAGGAAGCTCCTTAGGCCAGGGAACATGCATCATTCTACTGTACCCCCAGGACCTAACCAGGTACATGGCATACAGTAAGTCACAGTAAATATCTATTAAATGAATAAATTAGTGAAGGACATACAGAGTGAGAAAGAGAAAAACAAAGATACTAGTATGTTACATCTGAACAGTCCTTTTCATTTACAAAACACTTTTATAGATAATTTGATCCTCCTAAAAATTCCACCTTGATATCACTATTTTTTATTTATTTTATTTTATTTTATTTTATTTTATTTTTGATATCATTATTATTTTAACAGGAGTTAACAGGAGTAGCAAGAGCAAATGACCAAAATAAACATCTAGCATGAGGCAGGTTTGCTTAGCAGACCTGTAAAACTAATGCCTCCTATCTTGCTGTGTATTTGGGCCCAGAGACATTATATCTACCATGAGTAACTGCTCAGTAAGAGGAAGATACTATAACTATTAGATGCACAGTAACTTGAATTCTTGCATGAAAGAATGTAGCGCATGCAATGCCTTCTTCTCTTTCTCCTTAAAGCTTCTCATGTTTTTCTCTGACTAGCACTGGTTGTTAACAGTGCAGCTCAATCTTAACAGTTCACAAGAGATAATTCTCTGGTTGGTGATCAGGACCTGACCAGACCTATGACGCTGGCCCTTCTACCTCTCAAGGTTCAGTCATTCCCCCAGAGTCGTCTTGTCTCTGTCAAAGCTGTTTCTAAGTCTTAACTTTTTTTTTTTTTTAGCTTTTTTGTTTTCAACGTGTATTTATTTTTGAACGAGAGAGAGACAGAGCATGAGCAGGGGAGGGGCAGAGACAGACAGGGAGACACAGAATCCGAAGCAGGCTGCAGGCTCCAAGCTGTCAGCACAGAACCCGACGCAGGGCTCGAACTCACAAATGGTGAGATCATGACCTGAGCCAAAGTCGGACACTCAACCAACTGAGCCACCCAGGTGCTGCTTAATTTTTTTTTTAATGTTTATTTTTTGAGAGAGAAAGAGGGGGAGAGAGAGAGAGAGAGAGAGAGAGAGAGAGAGAACACACGGGGGAGGAGTAAAGAGAGGAAGACACAGAATCTGAAGCAGGCTCCAGGCTCTGAGCTGTCAGCACAGAGCCCAGTGCAGGGCTTGAACCCATAACCCTGGGATCATGACCTGAGCTGAAATCAAGAGTTGGATGCTCAACCAACTCTTGATTTTGTTTGGCTCAGGTCACGGTCTCACCTTTTGTGGGATCAAGCCCCGCATCAGGTTCTGTGCTGTTAGGGATTCTTGGGATTCTTTCTCCCCACTCCCTGCCCCTCCCCTGTTTGCACGCTCACTCTCAAACAAAACAAAACAAAACAAAACCCCATAAAACTAATCACTAACCTGCACCCAAAGGCCGTCAATTCAGCAGTCATCATACCTAACATCGTATCAGGGATCTCAATAAAAGGCACAGCCAAAAATCTACTAGAATGAAATGACATTTACCATGAAGTCATTGCCAAGCTTGTAGTGTCCGATGCCATAATTGTAAGTCAGTTCTGCGACAAAATGATCATCCTCAGGTCCAAATCCCACCATTGTCTTACTCCATTTCCCATCATAAGGCCTAGAAAAATGAAAGTAAGTGAACCCAGTGACACAGACAAAATCTGCCTCAGGCCTCCCCTAAGGACTTCTTGGAACAGAGCAGTGGGCAGTCACCTCTGGTCCTCTAAGTACCCATAAAGATGAGATGACCTGTCAGCTGGTGCTAAAAGCAGCAATGGACAGTGTGTGTGGGTCCCACCACAGAGGCTCCAAAGACCATCTGTCTGGCACTTATTCGAGGGAAAGATTTGTTTACCTTTCTTTAAAGTAGAGGACAGACTCCTATAAAGATGCTTCTTCAACCTGATCTTTATTTTCATATATATCCATCAACAAACATGCAATTCTCGTGAGGCTTGGAATTTTCCAGTTTGCTATGGCTACTGAGCTTAAGAGACCCTTGATAAAGTGTTGCTTCATTTAGAACATACACTTACTTGTGTTCTTGAAGTTGCCACCTTAATTTATTTTCTCCTGAATTTATCCCACTGCCTTATACTCACTTTGAGAAACTGTCTTCTCTTCTCCAGGAGTATTTAGAGCCTAAATGAGATTTTAAGAAACAAGGGGTCGGGCACCTGCGTGGCTCAGTCAGTTAAGTGTCAGACTTTGGCTCAAGTCATGATCTCACGGTTCGTGAGTTCGAGCCCTGCATCGGGCTCTGTGCTGACAGCTCAGAGCCTGGAGTCAGCTTTGGATTCTGTGTGTCCCTCTCTCTCTCCCCCCCTCCCCTGCTTGCACTCTGTCTCTCTCTCAAAAAAAAAAAAAAATATATATAAATATATATATATATATATAAATAAATACAACATAAATAAATAACATTAGAAACAAGGTGTCATACCCATTACAGGCAGCTTTGCAGCCCTCTTCAAATTCCTCATGCCGCAGAATCTAGTAAGGAAATTACAATAAATTGTCAAGTGTTACCAGTACTGTATACAGCATATTTAGCACAACTTAAATGTTAAAACACAAACATTTATAACTTATATATAACATATAAGCTTTACTTGTAAGACAAAGATAACGAGCTTTATATCTTGCCCAGACTAGAAGTAGTAGAGGTAAGGAAGAACAGTTTGACACCAAGGGTGAGACAACCAAAGCTGTGAAATCTACTTACACTGGGAAGCAGTGCTGTGTAGTTAAAACAACAACAACAACAAAATCCCCCAAAAACCAAAGTTTGGCCTTCAGCATTAGAGAATTCTGATTTGGAATTCTGGATGTCACTCAATAGTTGTGTAACTCTGAGAATGTTGCTTAGGGTCTGAGTCTCCCAATGTGTTGTGAAAATAGATAATTTATTAGACCATTTGACACAGAACCCCACAGACAGTAGACTCTCAATGTCTTAGTTTCTACTCTCCTTTTTGATTCCCACTGCTACTGCTCCAGTTCAAGTTCCCATCAGTTCTCTCCTAGACTATTAAAAATCATCTTCATTGATCTTTTTCCTTAATACCACCACAAAATTATGTGCCTAATGCACAGCTCTGATCACATCATTACCCTCTTCTAAAATGTAAGACAGCTCCCAAATTACTGTGCCATAAAATCCAAATTTCTTAGTATTCAAGATACTATCAGAAGTGTCCTGATATCCCATCTCAACTTCATCTAAGTAATCTAAGCTAAAGACACAGAAAATTAGCAGTGTTTCCCAAACATAACTTATCTTTGCATTGGCTCTTCAACTTTTCTAGTATACTCCTCCCTCTAATCTTGGTTTGTGGAAATCTTAGCTATCTTTAGAGATCAACTCAAACACAAGGTCTCCATGAATTATTTCCTGATGACCCAGCCCAAAGTTAAATCTCTTCTGTCGTATTTTTGTAATAGTAGCAGCAAACACTTATATAGCACATACGATGTATCAAATACTACACATATAACAGTATTTAATTTTCATAACAACCTTTAATCAATGAGGAAACATGTTAAGGGAGAGTTTTGTGGTTTTCCATCACTTACCAAGTTTTGACTTCCAGTTACTATGTACAATGTACTACGTACAAATCCAATTCTCAACTCCACCCCCAACCTAGGCCAGGAGCTTTAGTTGAAGACAGATACTAGGGTCATTTTCATTTTTGTCACCAAAGTTCAACACACGACCATGAAACACGGAGGATGTATTTTAAATGACTGATGAATTCAGGTAACGCCCTTGCACTCCACGACTTCTGCACTGTCTCTGCATTAAATTGCACTCTTGCACCTCTAAAGCCCTTGCTTACACTCCCCAATAGCTTCCACCAGCATTTGCCACCCAGGTGATCCCTGTAGATAGCAGCTGCTCAGGGCTGGAGAGGGCGCTTCCGGGTGTTGGAAAGAATGGGTTCTGACTTAGGGCAGGCGCTTTTGAATACACAAAAGGGACTATTCAAAGCAGCCCTGAGAGAAGCAAAGCTCTAAATAGGCAATCTAAACCTTAAGGCTCCAAACCGGAAGAGACTGAGTTGTTTACTGGAAAAGTATTATATTACTTTTTGTTTACTGTCTTTCCCCCGTCTAGAAGCCCCAGGAGGGCTGAGGCTCAATACCTGCAAATGAACTAGGAAAGAAACGTGTGTGGGCACACAGTCGAGGACTAATAAAGGCCCCTTTCAAAGTCATCTAACCCAACCAGTGACATGCAACACTTCCCGAAGCTGAAAACTCGACAAGGCTAAAAAGAGTCCAAGGCTAAGGTCGGACACCCATTTGTCCCCACCATCGTGTGCCAGCCCCTCCGGGCCCTGTCTGCACCTTCATTCCAAGGACATCGCGAAAGAAATGCGTCGTCTGGAAGCGGTTTCCCACTTTGAATACGAAGTGCAAAGCTCGACGAGAAGCCATACCCACCGGCGCCACTCCCATCAGGCGTACAGTGCTGCCCGCCGGCAGCTGCGCAGACGGGCCGGTGACGTCACTGGCAGCCGCCGGCGCGCTTCCATGACGCAACCCACGGGGCGAGGGAAGATGGCAGCGCGGTTGAGGGGTTTAGTTTGGGCCAGCCGGCCGCTGCTGCCGGTGGTCCAAACTTGGGACCTCCACGCGCGGCGCTGGGTCCGGGCGCTGCGGCGGAGCCCCGTGAGAGTGGTGTCTCCATCCGGACAGGTGGTGGAACGTAAACCCGGTCCTGGGAAGCAGCCCCGTAGAGCGGCGGCTGAGACCGGTCCCCACGAGCCGCGACGGAAGCCGTCGCTTCAGGTGCCTCCATCCCAGAAGCCCTGCACCTGGGAAGATTCGGGGCTTCGCTATGATAAGGCTTTACCCGGAGACAGAAGGCTGAGGTGACTTGTTCCTGTGACTTGTCATGTATTCCCGTTTCTCTTCCCATTTCTCTTCCCGCCTGCCAACCTCTTTCCTCCTTTTGGAGGACTTCTTCCACCAGAATCCATTGGTTTTTATAATGCATGGAGGGCAGAATAAGTGTTTTCCTTGGAATTCATTTGTTAATGTCTATGAAGTTCTTTCTGTTTGTTAAAACTAGGTGTGTCTCGGTAACAAGGATGCTGGTAATTAACCCGTCTTTTTGTTTCCACCCACAGCAGTGTAATGACAATTGTTAAGTCCAGGCCATTTCGGGAAAAGCACGGGAAGATCCTGCTGGAAGGTCGCAGGTTGATTGCAGATGCTCTCAAGGCTGGTGCTGTACCGAAAATTTTCTTCTTTAGCCGTCTGGAATACCTAAAGGAGCTGCCCATTGATAAGCTGAAAGGTGTCAGCCTCATTAAGGTGAAATTTGAAGATATCAAGGATTGGTCCGACCTAGTAACACCACAAGGAATAATGGGTCAGTGGTTACAGCATGTCACCAGAAGTAGAGACCTAGGATCATTTGTTCATAATTATCTTAAGGTAGCAAATTTTACTTAAATTCAAAATGTTATTGCCTAACCTTTTCTTGAGACACCCAGAAAAACACAGTTCTCAAATCTGTGCATCTTGTAGTATTTTCAGTGGAAGCTGAAGCCAGTTTTTTTGGTCATCGTTTGAATTACAGTTCTTGAATATTATATATTCTCCTTGAATGTTATATATTTTTAGGTCACTTCTTCAACCAATAATGTCCAACTAAAATTTAAGAAAATGTTTACTAAAAGATTTAGGCCTCTATTTGCACAAGACCACTGCCAGTGTGGTGATAACCTTTCTGTTGTTGACCCCCTTATTCTAGAAGCAGGTGTAAGCAGTAAGCTGCAAGCTGTTACCCTGTTTAGCCCATTGAACAGGAAACTGTGTCTTCCTTTGGTTGACTCTGACTTAAGATTCTTTTTTTCAAGTTTTTTTTTTTTAAATGTTTATTTATTTTCTAGAGAGAGAGAGACTAGGGGAGGGGCAAAGGGAAAGGGAGACACAGAATCCAAAGCAGAGTCCAGGCTCTGAGCTGTCAGCACAGATCCTGATATGGGGCTCAAACCCACGAACTGTGAGATTGTGACCTGAGCTGGAGTTGGACACTTTAACCGACTGAGCCACCCAGGCTCCTCTAACTTAAGATTCTAATAGATGGTGGTGTCTATTAGCACTTAGAAAGTCTTTTTTCTAAAAAAAAAAAAAAAGGAAAAAGAAAGCCTTTTTTCTGAATATGGGAAGTCTAAATATATCTTTTTGACATTGGAATTATATTTTTGATCTGAGAATTGAATGGCAGTAAATGTAGAGGTTTCTCTTGGATAGTAAGGGATAGTTGGGGTAGGAGAAGTTATCTTCCAGGATTCTAATGTTTAGGCCAGGGTCTCTCATACCAGTTGTGCATGTGTTTTCCTGTAGTGGGTAAAGTGCAGCTATTAGTTGGGAGAGGAAATTTGGGGACTGTCTCTTATTCTGTAACCCATCAAGTCCTAGGGACCTGTGACCCTACACACAGAACTCTCCCCTAGAGTGGGGATTTGGACTGCTAAAGTTCTCCACCCTAAGTATCCGTGCTCTTGTTAGCTATACTTCTAATTCCCTTCACTATGCTACAGTACAAGTATCATTCATTTTTATCATGCTGGCCACTTTGGGCACATGTGTTGATAGCGGCTAGCCCATCCTGGACTTCTGTAGCCCTCCTCGTCGTCATGACTGCCTTTCATCGTTTTGTATCTTTTAAAAATATATATTATTTAGCTTACCCTTTTATTTCATATTTGAGAGGTGGAGTAAAGGGAGAAGGAGATAAGACTATCAGGCTTCTGGCACATCTCTGAATCCAGTAATGTAAGTAGGGCCTCTAGCAGAGTGTTCTCGTCACTGCAGCTGTACAGGTAGAAATTAAAGGACTTCAAGGGGTGCCTGGGTGGCTCAGTCGGTTAAGCGTCTGACTTTGGCTCAGGTCATGACCTTGTGATTCATGGGTTCCAGTTCCATGTCAGGCTCTGTGCTGAAAGCCTGGAGCCTGCTTCCGATTCTGTGTATCCCTCTCTCTCTCTGCTCCTCCCCTGCTCGTACTCTGTCTCTTTCTTCCAAAAAAAAAAAAAAAAAAAATTAACCAGAAAAGAAGTTAAAGGACTTCTAAGGTCCCCTGCTGTTGTGACTCTTAGGTGCAGGATCTTTTTACCACATACAGATACCTAATAGGGAAACCATTCCCTTCCCTTCATTGATGGGTTAGGTATAGGTCTGTATTCTTGGTGTGAATAAATTGGAATAGCCTTTGGGGAGGACAGTTTAGCAGTATCTATTAAGAGTGCTTGAGTCACCTGGCTGGCTCACTCGGGAGAACATGTGACTCTTGATCTCGGGCCATGAGTTTGAGCCCCATGTGGGGGTAGAGATTACTTAAATACTAAAAAAAAAAAAAAAAAAAAATGCACACACACCATGTTAATTTTACTTGCAAGTGTTTTTCATAGAGAAAAGTTTGGACATATGCATAGAGAGGTATACAGGGATGTTCACTGCAGGGTTGTTTATAACAGGGAAAGTGGAAAATAATCAAATTGTCAGTTGGGGAAGAACTAAATAAAGGTGGTATGTTCATGTTACAAAATAACATGCAACAGTTAAAATCAGGTAACTCCAAATGTATTGACATGGCAAGTTCTCTAAGACATCTCTTGTTATAGAATTGAATAAGTAGTTTACAGGATAACACATAGAGTATGAATTTTGTATGTGAAAGAAAAAAAGCACCTGTATATGGGTAGACATTTATATATGTACGTAGATGCATGGAACAGGTTCTGAAGGGATCTATACACTCCCAAGATTGAAAACAGTTACGGAGAGGAGGTGTCACGGGCAGGACTTTTTGTATCAATTTTTTTTCAGTCAGAATGTATTCATGTAGTACTTACATGACTAAGAACACAGAAAGATCGATAAATATCTGAAAAGCCAAATTCTCTCCCAGGTTCAAATCAGACAAGTGAACCGCCTGTTTTGTTTCCTCAGGGATCTTTGCCAAACCTGACCATGTTCAGATGACATACCCAGAGACTCAACTTCGCCATTTGCTGCCCTTATTGTTGATTTGTGACAATCTCCGTGACCCTGGGAACCTGGGGACGATTCTGAGATCTGCTGCTGGGGCAGGCTGCAGCAAAGTATTACTCACCAAAGGTCAGAGCACTTGTTCCTGAGTGGATTGGTCGGCCATTTGTAAGTGAGCTGGCTCTGTGGGCAGACATACATGGATTTGAATTTTGGGTCTGCCTCTTATTAGCCATTTGTCTGTGAGCGGTATTCTGAGTGTCATTTCCCTCCTCTGTAAAGTGGGCATAACAGAATCTACCTGGTAGGGTTGTTCTGAGAAGTGAGATGGTGCACATGAAGTACTTAGCACTCTGCTTGGCACACGTTAGGTACTTCAGGAAATGTCAGTTATCTTTTAAGATTATTTTGACACCGGCTAGGTTATTAAAGAACTTAAAATCAGGGAAAGAAATACATGCCAGTTTTAACACTTCGAGTCCTTTTTTTTTTTTTTTTTTTTTTTTTTTTTTTTTTTTTTTTTTTTTTTTAATTTTTTTTTTCCAACGTTTATTTATTTTTGGGACAGAGAGAGACAGAGCATGAACGGGCAAGGGGCAGAGAGAGAGGGAGACACAGAATCGGAAACAGGCTCCAGGCTCTGAGCCATCAGCGCAGAGCCCGACGCGGGGCTCGAACTCCCGGACCGTGAGATCGTGACCTGGTTGAAGTCGGAAGCTTAACCGACTGCGCCACCCAGGCGCCCCAACACTTCGAGTCCTTTATTTAATGATCTTGAGTTCCCAAATTGGGGGGCATATGAAGCCTTCCTAACTGAAGGCACTCTGAATCCTGTAAAAGGAGTGTGAATATGAAATTGGGATGCATTTGCCTTAGCCTTAAGATGGGTCAGACATCCCCACACAAGTTAGCCTCTGACATTTCTCTCTCCTGTCCTCAGAAATTGGGATGAGTAGGCTTGGTTCTAAACAGACTTGCCTAACAGCTGGGACACACCTAAAACACCTATTACAACTTGCAGGGATGGTGAGAGGGGGAGAGAGTTCATCGAAAACACTCCAGCTATCATTCACTGTAAACTAATGACACCTGCTGCTGAGACTTGCCTCAGTGCTCCTTTCACCCCTTCGTCCCAGTCACATGTTGTTGGAATAGATGGGAGTAGATGTAGAGATGGCAGCATGAGAGCTAGGTACCGGGGTTCCATCATCAGTACCCCGCCTACCCACCCCATTGTTGAGATCTCTGAGAGCTGGTGTGGTTTTGGAGATGTACCTATATAATCCAAGTGGTGTGTTTGCCACATTCATGGTGGTGGCTGGTGTATAGGACAAGGGGAAGGAGTAGGGAGCACTTGGCCTGGTGCCCAGTATGGAGGATGTGAGGATGAGGGGGGAAATCCCACTTTGTTCCTTACTCCCCACCAGGGAGAGGGGTCAGACTGGATGGCTCCCCTCATGAGTCTCGACCCTCTTTTGTCCTCTCCGTTTTGCCTGCAGCCTCTTGACACACAGCCCAACTCTTCTCTCCACTTCCCTGCAGTGATTGGGAAAGTCTGTGGTTGGCAGTCGGCGTGGGCAGTGTTACATTCTGTGTCTTATCTTCCTTTTAAAATTTGGCTTGCCCACTTACTCTGTTCTGAAGTTGGGTTACTTTTTACAGTAATTTCTAATGCAGACAGTTGTGTTAACAAGTTAGGGGATGGTGGCAGACATGTGATGCCCTGGCCCTGCTGTCTCTCCCAGCCTGTGGTCCTGAGAAAGACCATGCAGAAGTGGCTGGGCTTAGCATGGGTCTGAATATAAAAAATAGTTCTTTTACCCTTTTTTCTGTGGTGTGAGAGGGTGTGAGGGTGTGTGTGTGTGAGAGAGAGAGAGGGAGAGAGAGAAAGCTGTTGCCTTGGCTTTCCATGGATCACTGTAATTGCCTCCCATTTAATTTCCCCTCTCTAGGGTCTTCCCTGCTCTGGTGCAGATTTAACACTGAAGCCAAATGGGTCTTTCTAAAGCATAAACCAGATTCTGTCACTACTTTACTTAAAATCCTTTGATAGCATTATATTAATGGACAAAGTCCCAAACTCCTCAGCCTGGCATACCCACCCTCCTTTAAGTTGGTCCTTGCCTGCCTCCCTTTCATCTCCTGTTACGCCCCCACCCGCTATTGGCCTGATCGCTTTACTTACAGTTTTTGGACTGTGGCACTCTTCCCCCTTCTATAATTTTGTCCTCTGCCTCAGCCTTTCTTTGACAGCTTCCTCCTATCCTTCAAGATCCAGCTCACTGTCATGTTCTCTGGGACATTTTTCCTGATAGCTCTGCTTCGTACATGGGATTTTTGTTACCCTATTAATACTTCTTTTACCTCAATTACTGATATCGTAGTCACGTGTTCAGATATTGTCCGAACACCATCGCCCATGATACCATGAGCTCCTGGAGGTTGGAGGCATTAATGCTCTTTGCCTCTCCTGTACAAGGTCTGGCCCAGGTGTATGGTAAATGTTGAAGGGATGAAGAAAGTCTTGTTTAGCACTAGCAGGAATTCATCCGTATGGTCCCTTTGCTGGATGCTGCCAAAACTGGGGAGGCAGAGGTCCCAGCCATCCCGAAACTACAGGACATTTTTTGCTTTCTCTCCTCATCCAGAATTAATTTGATTTACTGCAAAGATCCCCTGTCTGGGATGGTTTATAATCTTAATTGGATTCTGTCTCTATTTTCTAGGCTGTGTGGATGCCTGGGAACCCAAAGTGCTACGGGCAGCGATGGGTGCGCATTTCCAGGTGCCCATCATCAATAATCTGGACTGGGAAACGTTGCCCAACTACCTGCCCACCGACACCCGGGTCTACGTGGCTGACAACTGTGGCCTTTATGCCCAGGCGCACATGTCTAATAAAGCCAGTGATTACGGCTGGGTATGTGACCAACAACTCTCGAAGTTACACAAGTATGAGGAGGAGGAGGAGGAGGATCTAGAACCTGGAGCCAGTAAAGCCTGGCTCCCTGAAGTTGAGGTCCAGAGTTATGACTTGGACTGGACAGAGGCACCAGCAGCTGTGGTAATAGGCGGGGAGACCCATGGTGTGAGCCTGGAGTCCCTGCAGTTGGCCGAGAGCACTGGGGGCAAGAGGCTGCTGATTCCCGTTGTGCCTGGTGTGGACAGCCTAAACTCGGCTATGGCTGCAAGCATCCTGCTTTTTGAAGGGAAAAGACAACTGCGGGTCAGGGCGGAACACGTGAGCAGGGACAGGAGTTACCACTGAGAGGGATCTTGGAAGTCAGTCCTTGATTTGAGGTGGTTCCCAGCTCCTCCTGCATTGTTAGGAGATAGGCAGAATATGGTAATCAGGCCATATTCAGGAGGCAAGAGGTGGGCAAGATGCCATTATATGATTACTGGAAAAATAAGAATTTCCATGAACTTATGCTTATCTTCAAAAGTAACAAGGGTGAGAATTCTTCCTGAGATCTCCCCCAGCTCCGGAGCCGAACTTCCTCTCGAGAGAGCCCGGAGAGCAAGCATGACCCGTGCCCCAAGTGGTGGCAGAGTGGGATTGCTTTATGTTTAAGGGGAGGGGTTTTTGCAGGAACAATCTCTGGTTGGCTGTGCTCTCCCAGGCTGGTGCCCCACTTTGGTCTGGGCCTGGCCAGGGTCACACACAAATGTCTGATGCAAGTGGCCCACAGATTGTGCTTGAGACCCTCAATGCCCCGTCAGCTTTTAGAAGGTAGAAGAGCCCACAGCCTTCATAGAGGGCTGAACCCACAAAGGCTCGTCCTCCAGCTTCACAGAGGCCATGATGCCTGTCACACCAGCAGGCTAGATCTGGGAGGCAGCTCAGTACTCCTGGAGTCTGTTGGCATTTGTTCTGTCAACACCTTGGAAAAGTGCTAAGAAAACGAGGTCACTAAAGGATGAAGCCAGTGTCCTGCAGCTTTGTCCCTGGATTATTGTTCCTGCTGATTTTTGTTACAAAATAAAGATCAATGACCGAACAACAAACCCTATGCCTTGTTACTGTTAAGAAAAACAAAACAAGGCAAAACAGTATACCTGGCACATAATTCCAAGTCTACTTTATCACACTGGGTGAAAGAAGGAAAAGAAATTTACGTCCCATTCACTTCATAGTCAATGGCTTATATGCCATGCCTTGTGAGTTCTTTTTGCACATTTGTGGATATAATTTAGCAAAGAGGGCAAATTTTCCTTTCTTTAAAATGACTACAGGGGAAGCAACCAGTGATGAGGCTCTGGTTTGTTGAACGATCATGGAAAGTCACTTTCTCAAATTCTTTGCAATTTTAAGGCCAACATTTGTTTTTTTGCCATTTCCCCGGAAAATAAGAATTAAAGAAGGAGCAGTATAGGACAGTACACTACACTGGCTGGAAGAGAAGCTGTCAGATGGTTGGCAGAGTGGCCCCTTGACTTTGTGCTGAGTGGAGCGCCATTGATGGTTTCTGCCACAAGGTGGCAGCCGCACTTTGAAACCACTCCCAACCCTGAAGGGAGGGATTTAAGTTCTTGAGAAAGGATGGAGTGAGTCTCTGCACAGAGGGCATTTTGCAGGACATTTGTGCTCAGAGGTGCTGAAGTTGGAGACCCATCCAGATTCTCATTCTCAGCAGAATCTGAAGCATAGATGGACACTGGGCCAAAAAACTAGGGGAAGTGGACAGAAGTGGGAAGCGGTTGCCGAGGGAAAAACCAGCATAACTTCCTTTGAATGGAACCTCTGGGAAAGTAGCTCTGGACAAATGTTGATGTCCCCATACGCCTGGAACTCACGCTGGGAAGCCTCACCCTGGTTTGCAGCTTCAGGGCAGGGAGAGCTGCAGAGTCCTATTCCCTTCCCCCAGCTCGAGGTGAAGATCCTGTCATTAAGGCTCAGAGGATGAGCAGACCTCTGGGGACTGGTTTCCACCACTTTCACCTGTGACCTCCTACTACTTGCCCCATGGATCATCGAAACACCAGATGTCCCCTTCTAAGCTGAGCTGCTTTTATTTATTTACTTAACGTTTTTGTTTTTGAGAGAGACAAAGTGTGATGGTGAAGCAGGGGTGGGCAGAGACAGAGACAGACACAGAATTGGAAGCAGGCTCCAGGCTCCGAGCTGTCAGCACAGAGCCCAATGTGAGGCTCGAACCCACGAACCATGAGATCATGACCTGACCCCAAGTTGGAGGCTTAACCAACCGAGCCACCCAGGTGCCCCAAGCTGAGCTGCTTTTACCTCCACTTTTGCCATTTTGCCACACGAACACCCCAGAAACAGCACCACACCAAGGGTTCTGTGGCTAGTGCTAAAAACCAGCTGTGCTGCAGGGCCTGGGTGTTCCCTGGGCCAAGCCCTCCCCGCCCCCACTCACTTAAAAAAAAATTCTTTTTTAGGTAACACTCACATAGACATCTTTAAACTCCAATGACTTTCTTCAGTGCACAAAAGTAGCAAGCTGGAAGTCAAATGAATGGATGAGCTGTTTATTGCTGTGGGCGACTTAAAGTCTGAACTAGCTTGCCACGTATGTCTGCAGCTGAGACAGCCTGCAAGCCGGGCCCTCCAGAGCCGCGGCCAACACCCAGAGGCCAAGTATGACTGAAAGTCTGAATACACTACAGAAGGCATCGGTTCTCTTAACTACGTTTGTTTTCTAGGGGAGCCACCTTCTTCAGCTAAGGCATCATAGTCGGAGGGCCATCCGCAAAGCTGCTGCTGCTGCACAATGCAAGAAGGGAACAAAGGTTGGGGACGAGATGTGGCCGTGACAGGGTCTGGCCTCCCAGCCTCCCTCTTACCTCTTTGATGGGAAGGGGTGGTGCAACTGACTGCAGACCGGCAGAGGGACTTACTTCCACGTCCTGTGATGTCCGAAGGAGATTTCTTTTTTAGCCCTGGGTCCTAAGATCATGCCCCCTCTTGTATCCTTGTGCTTACCTGTGTTGGGTGACTGACCTGTGTGAAGCATGAACACCCAGGAACCTAGACTTGAGGCTGCCTGCCTCCTTTGGGCTGCACAGTCACCTACAGGCTTGGGGAGAGACCTTCATGAGTTAGCACGTTATTTAATAGAAATCCAGCAGTCCTTCAGAACAAGTCCTACCCAAATCCGGTTACACATCTCCTAGCCTGGGAAGTATTGCAAGAGTCCAAGGGGCTGTGGAGACACAGTATGCCTTAAATGAAGCAGATTTTCTTCATGCTTTCACATTTGAGGCACGCCTAGGACATCCTAACGTTGTATTTCCCCCATTGGAAGGAGAAATCGCAGCCATAAAGTGGACCCAATGTAACATTTTCCTACAAACAGCCTTGGTTCCTGGAAACCACGTCCCTTGCATTATTTACTAACACTGGATAATCAGGAACGAAGCTAACAGATGACAGCCATTTGTCAACAGAGGATTTTCTTTTGAGCAGCCTGCTTGGAAGAAGGCCATGGCGACTCTTGCCCGCTGGGTGTTCACAAAGAGGGATACAGGTTCAGTGCTCGCTTCTTCAACACCGCCACTTCAGGGAACTTGACAGACCCTGAGCTCTGGGCCTCTGGGTCAGTCCTCTGTTCACATGGCACCACCCAAAGAGGCCACAGAGGGCACTGCTGAAGTTCCCTACCAGCCACACGCAGCCGTGCCCAGTCCCATCGGGCGAATGTGGGCCTGTTCCTCCTGGTCCAGGGAAATGACTTATGAACAGGATGTCCCCATGCCTGAGCCTGTGTGACTGAAGGGCGCTGGGCCAGCTGCCTGCTCACATCCCTCCCGGAGCTACGATTCCAAGTCTACATGCGTGCGCACACGTGTGGTGTTCTCCCTGAGCGGACGCTGCGACACCTTATTAGGTTCTGCTGATCTATTCTTGGACCGTGTTCTATGTCTAGATCATTGCAGAACTCCATTTGCTACCCTGGAACAAGGCAGCAGGCGGAGAGAACAGCTTTTTAGTGTCTTTAATTAGGCAAGAGGCAAAAACAAAGTCTGGCTGAAAATTACCACTTGAAGTTTGGCTGATGCCAAAACAGTTCTGGCTCCCTGTGCTTGGGTAAGTGAGAGCCATTGAATTTGAGGACATACTTGGAGATGGGGGGAAGCTTCTGGAAAGGAACTTCAGTTGCCCTCTGGCATTTACCGCTGCCCACCGTACATCCCGATTCCAAACACATACCCTTTTTCTTCACCAGATCTTTATTGTTGGGGACAGGTAAAAAAATCTCATCTGTTGTGAACATGAGTAGAGTCGGATCTGGAAGTCATTGTGGTGAGCACAGAATCCGGAACCCCAGGGTGGCATTTTTACAGCCACCTTCCTGCCTCAACCTACTGGGGCCTGGTTTCCCTTGCTGCTGATGGAAACCATTGAATGTATCACAGCTGGGGTTTTAACCTGCTTCCAATTAGTGACAAGAATTAAGGTATTTTGGAGCTGCTTAAGAAGCAGCATCAAGAACCTTTGCATCAAGAACCTTTAAGATCTCATGCTACTGAAACGGGTTTTTACTGGCACTGGGAAGTGGTCCTCCCCCACCATTTCTCCTCAAAGCTGCCACTAGATAAACCTAAAGCCTTTTTTTAGTAAACCTTCCCAGTGACCTTAACCTACACACCCACTCTAAAAGGGGAATTCTGGTGCCAAGGATCCAATTGACCTTAGTGGCAAGTAGTTCTGTCAGCCCCGTACAGGTCACAGAAGAATCACAGATGACCTGATTTTTCTGCCGCGTGACTTACAGGGACTCCTACCTGGACTTTGTTCCTTCTGCGCCAGAAGATAAGTAGTTGCTAAGAAAGACCACTTTTCCTCCAAGGCTATCATGATATAGGACACAGGCAGAAGTCCAAAGAAATCCATCTTCCAAGTAAGGTTGACCTCACCTTGTCCCCACACCCACCACACTCCCAAAAGCTGGCAGGCCTGGCAGTGGGGCATATGTGGCGACAACCTCAAGTACAGCACCAAGTTCCTGAGCAACTTCCTGGGGCCCAAGAGAGAAAGCAAAAACCTGAGGGCACAGGCAGATGCTCACGACACCCACGTGGGCATCAAGGTGAGCACATTGCCGGGAGGCCCGAAGCCCTGCCCCAGTCAGGGTGCAGGACCAAGGAGCAAGGTCTGTAGGAGTCCAGCATCTGCCGTGCCCCTCAGCACACACACAGCTATCCCATGAGAAACCTCATGCCTTCAGCCAGCACACCAGTACCAAGTACCAGGAAGTACGAAGGGTCCTGGGCAGCATGGCAGGCTAGGCAGCAGGTAGGAGCCAGGCTTGGGATGCAGCCATGATGAGGCAGAAACATGTTTGGAGAGGGATCTCCATTCCAGGGACTGTCCTTCCCGGACATCCTAGAAGACAACGTAGTTTGAGAACTTTGATATGGTGCAACACCTTGTCCCCACACCCACCACACTCCCAGAGGAGACACTGGCAACGTTCCCAGAGAAGCCCCTCCACCCAGCATAGAGCTAGGGTTGAGGGTCTCCAACTGTTGCCCGTTCTTCACTGGGAGACCTGTGTGGGATTCCTTGTTTCTGCAACCGGCCTCCTCAGGCTTCAGAGCACTTGCTCCCCTATGGGGAGGGGATGAGCACCAGTGTCCACAAGAATGCCTGTGAGCGGAGAATCCGCCCTCCACGAGGGCAAGTGGAACCAGGAGAGATGCCAGCCAGAGCTCCAGCAGGGATGTCGGATGCACTAACCCAAAGGAGCTCCCTGGCCTCAGAAGGATCCGGCAGATGACCACATTAGTTAGTTTCTGCTCTGAAAAATTCTGAAACATAGCTACTAGGTATCCAATGAAAGTCAAGAAGATCTTGTGTGTCTCCCCCCCACCCCCGACCCCCCAGGGCCCAGCACCACAAGCAAAAAGATTTTTGTTATTAACCACAGGAAAGGCCAAGTCGATAATGTCCAGAGATGCCTGCTTTATTTCTTACTAGGTGATTGCATTTCAGGCTGTGACATCAAGTAGCTGTCTAATTACCAGCTAACCTTGTACCTCTGAACTACAAAGCAACAGTCCAATTCAGCAAGGGGCAATGGTGTCAATAGCTGACCGGGGGCTGGGTTTTCTAAATCAGTGGTCTTGGCTGACAGAATGCTGTCAGCGGAGACAAGGGTGAGGCCTGCCATCAGGTGGAAGACCCTAACACCTGGTTGAGATAGGCCCAAATCCTGTGACTCCCTAGGTAAAGCCCCCACCCCAAGTCCCAAGGACACAGCAGTTGTTACTTTTGTTTTCTGGGATCCAAGCTACCTGAGCTTGCTCAGCAAAGTGGATCCAAAGCGTACTTTTAGTTGACATGCCCTCTGCTCGCACTGCCACCCTAGGATACAGCTCTTTCTGCAGGTTCTTAGGGAGAAAGCTAGGCTTCTGGTAATTTCTTGTCTCTTTTTAGTTCTGCTTTGAAAAGAAAAGAGGGATGACAGAGTAACCAAAGGTGGTCACAGGCACCGCGGCAGAGTGGGCCGAGTGTCAGAGGTCTGTGCTGGGTGAGGTGGGGCACCTCCAAGAACACAGGGCTGGGTGCCTCTTCTCGGGAAGATGTCCGAGGGGAAGAATTAACAAAATTCCAAGACAGCAGAGGCTGTTTGTACAAGAAGGCAGAAACTTGGAGAAGGTAAGATCAAGGAAAAAAGATGTAAGGAAAAAAATCACATGGTAGGAGCTCAGAGTAAGCAATTACTACATGAATCATTACCATAGCTACTCTTTCTCACCAGAAAAGAACACAAGCTTCCTTTGAGATCGTGAAATCCCCGGCCCAAGAACCGACTGCCAAGCTGGTGTTTTTCCCTCACACCAAGAGGGAGAGTCACTAGACGAAGTCACTTAGGAAGGGATGTTCTCACCAGCAGCTCTAACCTGAGGCGAGCAAGGCTGCGGCCCTTTCCCTGCTCCACCTGCATGTACGTGTGTCACTGAGCTGTCCTGGGCCCTGCGTGTGCATGCTGACACCAGAGGCCGAGCCAGAGCACCAGCACACTGTCCCTTCGCGCTCGCTCGGCAGAAGAATGCCTGGCAAACACTGCTTCCAGAGCTAGTGACTGAGAGTGTGATGCAGTCCTGGCTCTGGCCGGGTTATGCCAGCCCCGTGAATCCCAGGCCGAGTCTCCAAACATGGTGGGTTCTTCTGCTGCTGAGAGGATGTGCACCTTAGGGTGCTAGCTGAGGAGTTAATGCAGAAAACAAGGCACCACAGAGAGGTTGGACACTTGGGTTGTGTGATTCAGGACACGCCGGAAAAGTCCAAGGGTGGAGGGAAGAAAGGGGAGGAGGAAGAGGAGAAGACCGAGTTTTAAATAACGTCTCCTGAGGCCGGAGCCCCACTAGATGGGCTCTGGTTTGAGCTTTTCTGCTAGGAAGTCATTCACAAAGGCCTCCACAATGGCAGGGGTGATCTCCTCCACGTCCATCACGTACTTGGCCCGGGCTGACATGTCCAGAATGGTGAGCAAAGGGGCCGCCTCGGGCAGGTTGGTGTAGTCTCGCAGGGAGTCAGTCATGTCATCCTGGAAGTCACCAGAGGGAGAGAAAACAGTACGTTTTCAAGAAGGAGGCTAGAGAGTCCCCAGAACGCAGCCACTCCATTGTCCTGAGGAGCGGGCGGCCGTCCGGAAATGATGGGCTCTCAGAACAGGGAGCAGTGGACTCTGCCCTGCCTGGGGGAGGGGAGGGTGCTTTGCAAAGTCCTCTCTGCATCTCCCCAAACTACCAGAGAAGTCCTCTTTCTTCATTAGCACAAAAGCAACTTTAACATGCCCTCTGCTTTGTAAAAATGTGATGTCTTCTGATCACTTACTTTTGCAACTGCCTCTCAATTGTTGGCGGCCCCACTATGGATATCTGAGGCCAACCTGGCCAACCTTCAACTCCGGAATGTCTTTAACGGAAACAGATCACTGTCCCCACCCCATCCTTAAGGTTTTGGGGGTGAAACTGCACAGCCAGTAGAAAAGACAGGGCTACTGCAGTACTTCCTGAGGCTTACATGGGTGGCTGCATTTATCATACATTCCCAGTGACTGTCCAGATGAATTTGCCTTATTAAGTAGAACAGCAAACCCAGAAACCCAAAGATAGGAGACAGACCTGTAAGGGAGCAACCATTTGAGATTACCTTTCGTGCACCCGACCCCCATTTGGTAGAGAACAGGAAATGGACTCTACACAGCCACCCTGACCCAAGTCACCCTGCAGAGGAAGGGCCTGGGGTATTCCTGGCCTTAAACGCTGGCGAATAGGAGGTATGAGATTTACTGCTCACTGGTTTCTGAGACAAAAAAAAACAAAACAAAAACAAAAACCATTCCATTCTCAAAGGGCAAATCTTTAGGAAGATGATTAGTGATCGTCTTTTCTCCCTACCCCAGAAATGGCATGCACTTCCAGCAATGGCGATGAGGGATTCAGCACCTCTGGCACTGTTCACCCCGCTCAGGCCCTCCATGTGGGTTAATAAACAACCTTCATGATCGAAAGAGGGGAGACACCTGGACAAATACTGTGTATCGAATTCCCATTAGGAGGCCTTGGCCAGCTGAGCACAATGCTGTGTCCCCTCCCCTCTCCCTCTGTGCAAACCACAGGGAGATGAATTCAATGTCTACTAAGGCTTCAGAAGGGATGACCTCCACCTGGCAGAGTGGAGGGGATCAAGATAAACACCCTTAGCCCCAGGAGGAGCGGGAGAGGGCTGGAGTCCTGGCTCAGAGGTGCTTGGTCAGTGCTTGATGTTCCCACACCCCAGGCCCATCCCCTTCCACACAGCCTTGCTTCTCAGTCCAGTTCTGAGTCCGAGAACTGGACTAAGACAGCTGCCAAGGTCAGGATCCCAGGTGAAAGGCACAGGAAGGACGAGGTGGCCAGGTGGCAAGATGGAGCAGTGGATGACCCTGTCAGACTCTCCTCTGTCCTAGACGCTTCCCTCCAGGCCTGAGCCTGGCCACCTGCCAGACCACGTGGGCAGCAGGAGGGACATCACTGCCTCTGGAGTCACACTGACCTCACGTTCAGTCCTCTGTGCCACCTACTTGATGTGCGACTTTGAGAAGTCATTTTTGTGAGCCCAGGTCTTGTCCCCTGCAAAATGGGTCTAAGAGCAGCTCGCACAGGGACGAGGCGTGAGCGGTCTGTGCTCTCGAAGCCTCACTCATCTGTGAGATGGTAATCTCACATCCCCAGTCAGAGAGGTGAGGAGCAAGTGGGATGGTGCCGGTGGTGCTTGTCTTGGTGCCTGCTACACAGAAAACCCGCAAATGCGCCTTTTCAGCCACATTTCTAAAGCAGTTACTGGAGCTCCCCAGCCCCAGCCCTGCCCCTGGCTCGGCCCCTGCTGTCCTGCACCCATCTTTTCTGTCTCAGCCATCTGAAAGGGGTTAGAGTTCAATAAATTCAGAGCAGCTTCCATTTGTGCTTTGTGTAGAGCGGGCTCGTGTAGCCCCAAGGCAGGACCCTGTGAACCTGTTTTGTTCCCTCCGCCCCACGGCAGAGCGGGGTGACTTGAGCTGCCTGTGAGGGACCCGGTGGGGCTTAGGAGGGGTGGCTGTTGAGGAAGTGATGAATGGGTGGTGGTTGGGGGTCTGGCCTCATTGCCTCTCCTGGGATCCAGACAACACAGCATGAAACGAGCGCTGGGCTCTGACCAACTGGGGATGCAGATGGGTGGCAGGAGGGCAGGGGGCTTCAAAAAGTGTGTCTGTCAATAGCTTCCGGCCGGCGCCTGGGGTTGGGGGGGGAGAGGGGAGGGAGGAGGTGGCGGAGCATGCGTGGACTGGCTTCCTGGGGGCGGGGACTACGGCCATCTTGCAGGGATTTCCCCCATCTGCAGGATGGAGGCTCAAGCACCAGGGTGGGACAGGCACCCGGCTGAGGCCTTCTCACCCTGTGTAAAGTCCTCCGCTCAGCCCATCCCAGCTGGAGGCCTTCAAGGGACAGGTCTTGGGCGAAAAGAGCCTGGGACAGCAGCAGTTTCCCACCTGAGCACCCTCCCTGGGCTGGCTGGGGAACTGCAGATCCGAGTCGAGGCCCCCAGTCAGGATGCCTGCAATGGGGGAGAGCCCACTTTGCAGGTCAGGGCGGAGGGACTGATCACAATCTTTGTGGCTGCCACTCGTGCTAGCGGCCTGGGTAGTAGACTGCCAGAGGCAGCGCTGTCCCGGGAGGGCCTCCTGCTGCTCTGAGGCTGCCGAGCAACAACGAAAGGGAGGAAGGTGCAGCAGGGACCATGCTGGATGACACCTTTTCATGCCACGGTTGTCTGTGGGCTCCTCACCCCAGATCCTGGGGCCCCTTCGAACATCCCCTAGGGCCGCATCGCTCATGTTCTAAGAGTTGGCCAGCCGAGCAGCCCGCGGCCCAGGCCCCAGTGCACTCACCTCCCCGGCGACAAAGAACAGAAGCGGCGCCTCCTCCTCTTTGGCTTTATACTTGGCAATGATCTTCTCGGCTATTGGCTGGATCAGTTGCTTGGCTGCCTCGGACTCCCCATCATCCTCAGAATCTGTAATGGGGAAAGAGAGACACGAGAAGCACTAGTTTGTGGAACAGATGGAGTGGTGTCCCCTGAGGGAGCTGGGTCCTGGGCCCGAAATACCCATCCGGGGAAGCCCCTGAATGGAAACAAAACGTCCCCTGGGACACAGGCCTCCCCTCCTGGGTGCACGAGGGTGTGTTTGCAGCGCATTCGCACCACTGCGCGCTGAACTTCCCCTGAGCCAGGATCTGAGGTCCTTGTAGCTCTTCTCTCAATCACAGAATCACAGCATGACCTCAGATCTGACCTCCTATCAAAAATGGCAGGACTGATGGTGGCAGTGGGGTGCCCCTGAGGCCCTGGAATGCCAGCTTCAGGGCTAGCCGGACTCTTCTGGGAGAGGATGGACTGCCTGTGTGGGAGGGGGCCTGCCCAGGTGTCCAGAGCCCCCTTTAGTCACCTCTTGCCTCCAGGGAAAGAGCAGCTTGGGAGCAGCCACACACAGGGGCCCTGGGGCTCACTCCTGATGGAGCCTGTAGCCCAGAGCAAGAGCAAGAACCACACCCCTAAGGGCAAAGCGGGAAGGAGAGACAGGTAGCAGGATTTGCACCTAGAAATGCCACATTGCCCAAGGGGCCCTCAGCCTGAAGACTCGGTGGGACTTATTCTAGATCTACATCTCATCAGCTCTGTGACGCTGGGAACTCACTTTATCTCTCTGGGACCTTCTCATATCTTCTCAGATGGCCAGTGAGCTGCAACTGTCCCTAAATTCAGAACTGTGTCCCAGAGGCCCCAGGATGTGGGTGTGGGGGCAGGCAGTAGGTGGCAAAGCCCCAAGGACAGTGATTCCCCAGGAGGCCTCTGTTCTTCAAGCACAGGGGCCAGCTTGCAAGTCAGTTTGTTTAAGAATCCCCTTGAGTCTGCTGATTGGCTCCCATACCAGACTTCCAGAGCACAGGGTAGGATATGCCCCCCCAATGGCATCTCAGCCATGACCCTCATACCCCAGATTATTTGGGGAGTTGGAGCTGAGCAACACAGCTCAAGGCAGAGGGTGAGGTGGCCCTTGGCCAGCAGTTGCTCTGTTTGCAAAAGGAACCAGGGTCATCCCACAGGGCTGCAGGGAGCCTGGAGTGGATGTTGTGGTGTCCCCCTGGCCCCCAGAGCAGTCACCCACTGAACAGAGAAGACACCGAGGGGGGCACGCAGAGACAAGGCCCTGAGGCTGGGGTGGGGGGCCTCGGCCCAAGGGGGCCCAGCCCCTGCAGCTGCTGTGCACGCAGCCCTGCCTCCTCCCAACAATGGGTCTGTTGGAGGGGGGCCGGGCTCTCCAGCCTGACCTATTCTTCCCAGCTGGCAGTCGAGGAAGGAAAGCACAGCGGCAGCTCTCAAAGCCCCTCCTGCAGGGGCAGAGCCATGAATAAATCATTGGGGTCAAAAGCAAGGCTGCCGGGAGAGACAAAGGCCCAGGCTCGGCATTGTTGGCATTGTTCAGGATGGAAAGAAGCTGCAGGATGGACACCCCCCACGTGAGGTCTGTCTTGTCCAGCCCACCCTGGGGCTCCTGCTGGGGCTTCATACCTACAAAAAGGACGAGGCAGGGGCCCTCGTTGAGCTGCACGGCATTGGAGTCGGAGAGCTCCAGCACGGGTTTGGGGTGCCACGGGAACTCCCTGCAGTCCTCGTCGTTCAGCACCTCCACGCGCCCCTGCCGCGTGATCACTTCCCCCTGTGGGTCCAGCACAATGAGGGTGGGGATGCCTGTGAGGGAGAGAGCTCACTTGAGAGTCCAGAAGTGCTGGGACAGAATCCAGGCTCAGCCATGGGACTCCCTCGGGTCTGCCCGCAACTTGTCCAAGAAACCGGGCAACTCACTTCACCCCCCTGGCTTCAGTGTCCTCCACTGCAATGTGGTAAATGGACCGCGGCACCCTCCTTCCCATCTTTGTAAAGATCAGCGAGGTCATGCACTTAAGGAACTCAGCACAGGGTCTTGGCACTTAGAAGCACTCAATAAATCCTAAAGAGATCCCAGAGAAGCAGGAGACGCCCCTGCCACCTGCAGGGTGTGAAAACACACCCCCACACAGCGTACTTGCTGCCCACATAGGCCAGCACAAATCAACCCAGGCAAGGGGAGTCCACACACAGGCTGGCAGTCCCACCAGTGTGAGCACAGAGGCTGGAGGAGGGGAGGAGCCTGGGGCAGGGGCCACAGCAGAACAGGGGACAGCCGGCTGCTAGTGAGCCAGGGGCCCCACCTCCATCTGCAGCCCTGCTGCCCGGGGAGGTTCTGAGGGGGACAGTCCCTAGAGGGAACATGCTGATGGCAATGCTGCCACCCCCACTTTAGAGTCCTGGGCTGGAGTAAGAAATGCAACACAGAACTCTCCTCCGCAAACAGCACGCCCCACCCCCCTGCCCATAAAGCCTCAAGTGAAAAACCAGGAAAAAAAACCCATCCTGGGTTACACTCGCATTTGGGATTTCCACCTCCTTGCTCTGCGTACCCTATTCCCTGCTGCCTCTCCTCCAGCCAGGGTACCCCCTACCAACCGCAGCCCATAGCCCTTTTGGAGACACTTGTCTCTCCACTACTGGCAGCCGCTTCCCTCACCCCCTCCTAACCAGCCACCTCTCCTCTGGAGCTGACCAGAGCTTTTTAATTTTCTGTGGGCCAGCGAAAGCCGTAGCAATTTAATATTTATAGATTCCAAAGCATTCAGTGAGTAATTTGCTCCACTGACATTTTGCTTCTCTGTGGGGGAGGGTGGGGACAGCGAGGGACCCGGAATGTGGTCCTAGTGTTTTGTTACCCGGCGCGGCTGCTGGCGCAGCAGGCATGCAGTGGTGGGCCTGTCTTCAAAAGGACTTAAGTGAGTCCATTATGTTCACACCTATTAGAAGTAGCTTGGCATGCTGGAGAACAAGTCCAGAGAGAAATAGGCTCCGGAGAACTGCCGTTCCCACCGCACCACACACAAATGCATGCAGCCAGGGCTCCTGGGGGCATTCAGGACACTATCAGCTGTCCAGGCCTCCTGAGTCGGGAGTCACACAGAGCCTACGGGCGTTTCCAGCCTCATCCTCACACCTGCATGTTAGCCTCTAGGGGCCTGGGTTCCCCAGCCCCGAGGATGGGGCTGGGCCTGAGTCAGCAGCCTGAAGGAGCTGGGGGCCCCGATGAGGATGGGGGCCTCCCATCGCCACGCCCCATCTCAAATATGCTTCGGCTAAGTTCTTTAATCAGAGTTGGTGTGGTTCTGACACTGGGCAATTTAGGAGTGCTGGGTTAAACCAGGGCCTGCCCACTGCTAATATTAGACACAGCAGCCAGCCTGTTTGTAGCCCAGACGTAGGATGCTGAGTTGGTCTGTGGAAGACGGACAGCCACAGAGGACAGAGAAGGGAAGAAAAGTAAAATCTGAAGGCAAAGAAACCCAGTTCCTGGTTTGGTGCCTCAGTTTCTCCAAGGGACTACTCTAAGGGGCCTTCTGTGTTACCACGGCTGTAGCCTCTCTGAAGTCCTCACTGGTGGGGACCAGCAGGGCAAGAACATGGAGCCCCTGTCTGGCTGCTCAGGGGTCCTCAGCTGATTCCACCAAGGAACAGCACCCCTGGGCCTTGGCTCTCCCCACCCCTTGCCTGCAGCTACACAAAAGCAAAGTCCCCACTCGTATTTGTGCTTTGTGCTTTGACACCAAAGCTTGACACCAAAGTGTGTGACTGTCGTACATCAACAGAAAGCAGCTTGGTAAAATGCCCACAGTCAGACTGCAAACCCAGAGAAGCCCCTTTCTGGCACATGCACTGGGCCAGGCCCCTCTGCCATCATGCCCGGCCCTAGAGCCTTAAGTGTGTGTGCTCCCCTCCAGGGGTGACCCGCAGGAAGAATGGGAGAGCTGTCTTAGCACATCTGCTCAGCACTAGCATGGCCCATGCTACTCCGCTTCCTCCCCATAATAGACAGCTGCGGGAGGCACGATTAACCCTCTTTTCACGGACGGCCAAGTTACCTACCTAAGGTCATCCGGCCACAAGTGGCCAAACTGGGACAGGACCTCCAGTCTGCCTGTTGCAAAAGCTGCTGCTTTTTCTACCTGGCCACTGCCAGCAGGGGCTCTCGCGGGTAGGCAAGGGAAGGCCCCCCCGGCATCCAGTTTTCTGTACCAGCAGCCGCCCTCCTCTTCCTCCTCAAGGCCACAGGGAAGGAGGCTGAGACCGCGAATCATCTCTTCCCTTTCCTCCCCCACAGCATACATTCCCGGCTCCCCTGAAGCGGGTTCCCAGAAGCAGAGACTTAGAAGGAGAAAATAGGGCAAAGCCCCTAACGGGAAACTGAAAGGGAATGGAACATTTCTAATCGATGCCTTTGTGCAAAATAACTTTGGCGGCACCAGTGAGGGGCTTCTCCGAAGGGAATGCCAAGGGAGCACGTGTCATCTCTGCCTGAGCTTCTGGTTCCCCAGCTGGGGGCGCTGGAGTGGCTGGGGGAAAGTACAGTGAGAATTCCAAGGCAGATCCAGGCCACCCACTTCACTTCTTGGAGCCTCATTTCCATGGCCGCCACAGGGGGTAGAGACAGGCTCCTATCTCAGTGGGTGTCGGGAGCAACAAACAAGATGACAAGTATAAAATGCTGAAAGCGTTTTACAATGAGTACTCCAGAAGTATTAGCCCCTCTTATAAATAAGTTCATTATTTTTAAAGTAATTTTTTAAGCTTAGTTTTTAATTTATTTTGAGAGAGAGACATAGAGAGCAAGAGGGGGAGAGACAGAGACAGAAAGAGGGAGAGAATCCCAAGCAGGCTCCGCACTGCCAGCACAGAGCCCAATGTGGGGCTCCAACTCATGTACCGTGAGATCGTGACCCGAGCCGAAGTCAAGAGTCGGACGCTTAACTGACTGAGCCACCCAGGCGCCCCTCGTTATTGTTATTTGTGGTCATCCTAGGTTGATTATGTGGCTCATGAGAAGGCACAGGTACAGAAAAGACTGGTGCCTTGCTTTCGTGAGATACACAGAAACCTTGTGCTGGCCGGAGGAGGCTAACTAAAGAAATAGAAAACAGAGACAATGTCCACGCTGCAGCGAGCATCGTAGGAACCGTGTGATGTCTACCACACGTGGGGTTGGTGTTCGTTTACTTGCACCAGGCCAAGCGTAACCTTTGGGTGAGAAACACACACCAGCGCTCCTAGAGAGAGCTTCTGCCTCAAGCCCCCTGCCCTGGGGAACTGGGCTGGACCACAAACAGTGCCCCAGAACCCCCTGCACAGTCTCTCTCAAAACCTACAGAACAAAGACCAAGGCCCGAAGGCCTGCTCCAAACGGTTTCCTCCTGGGAGGAGCCTTTCCGTGAGTATTTAAAACAATCTCAAAGACATGTGTACTGAGCCTGTCCCACATTTAGTTTGGCTGCTTTTCTGCTGAGCAAAAAGGGGGTTTTGAAGGAGGCGGCAGAGGGGGCCCGCGGCAGTGGGACAGAAGCTAGACAGGGCTGTAACCCCAATGACCTTCTGTCTCTGCTTCTAGATGGCAACATGACCCGAGGGGGCTGGCAGTCATCATGCAAAGATTGCTGGGAGCTAGAAGAGAAATGGAAGGAAAAGCAGAGCCTTAGGCAGGAGGAACAGGTGAGGGTACAGGGCAGGGCAAAATAGGTGATCACGACAGTGCTCATCATGGGGACTACAGCAGGATGGAAACTGTAACATGTCATTAAATAGAAAGTAGAGAATCCCCAGTCCCGTGTGTATGATTACAGCTACATATAAGTATGTGTGCGTGTGGACAGAGACCAAAAGGGAGTCGGAACAGTAAAAACAATTGTGTAGTAAGGCAGGAATGCGGGTGAGAGCAATATAGACTCGAGTTTTCTTAGATGGTGTTATGATAAATGTGTATTAGCTTAAAATACAAACCAAAGAAAAACCGAAGGGCAGTCGGGCAGGGCAACAAACTCAGGCTAACACCTTGGCCTTATCAATTACGGGTTCCCTTCAACAGCTCCCTCTGCACTCCCTGCTGGCTCCCCCAAACCCGCCCTTGCCTGGAGAGCTATGGAAGGGAGAAGGCAGCTGGTCTGGGTGGTAAAACTCAGAGAATCCCAGGGCACCTGGGCGGCTTAGTTGGTCAAACGGCCAACCCTTGGTTTTGGCTCAGGTCATGATCTCAGAGTTTGTGGGTTCGAGCCCCATCTTGGGCTCTGCACTGATGGTGTGGAGCCTCCTTGGGATCCTCTCTCTGCCTTCTCCTCATTCTTTCTGTTTCTCTCCAAAATAAATAAACATTAAAGAAAAAAAAAACTTAGAATCCCACGGGAGGGTGCGAGGACGGGTCTAGCCTTGCACTTGGCCAGCAAGCCCAAAAGCCACTTGGGCACGTGTCTGTGTCAGAGGAACAGAGACGTTTGTGGCAGCACTCCTACAATACACAGAAACCAGACGCAAGCAAGCGTCCATCAAACAGGGTAACAGCTACATAAACCGTGGTCCAGGTGTACAGTGAAACCCTTTTCAGCACCGAAGAGAAGTGAATCAGATATAAATATCAACAAGGACAAATCCTGAAAGCATAATGTTTAGTGAGAAAAGCAAGTTACAGAACGATATTACAGCATGTCAGCACTTAAACATGCTTCTAAAAAACACACCCAGCATGACCATATATTATTCATGGATTCATACATATGCTGTAAGGATATGAAAACCAATTATGAAGATACACACGAAGTGCATGGTAGCATTTCCCCCAGGGG